TATTGCTGGAATATTGCAAAATCGGCATTGGAAACCTAACTCACTCATTGATACTCCATGAGTATTTTTATTTTTTGTAAGAGAAATCGATACTGCAATACGTATCCTGTTGTTAAAGCGTTATGGCGTATTATATCAGAGTATGTCTTTATACCATTAATATTAGTACAACCCTAGCAGTTTTGACCTAATTGTCAAGAGTCTTGAACTGTATTCTGGTCCTGATAATGCGTGTCTTTTCTCATCACACAAGATCTGGAGACATTTTATAAACTCTCACCTCCATCATTAGGTGGTAGAGTAGTTTAGCAGTTTGAGCGTTTGCTTGTCATGACCAAGTCCTGGGGTTGACTCCCCACATGGATACAATGAGATGACCTCTCTGATGTCCACCTGCCATTATACTGCTGAATCATCAGATATTCTGAACAATTTTAAGTACAATATTCACCAAACCCGCTATCATCCTTTGGATTGATTCGGACCACAGAGGTCACATGACAGTGGGACAGAGGCCAGGTGACCCCTGACGGCCTCCCAATGTTGAACTATGTTTTTGTTTTCTTAACGAATACATAAGCTCTCAGCTTGTTGGCCATTGTTAAATCCACAAGGTCTTGTTAGGCTTAGTAGAACCGTCTATGTTTTGTGCTCAAACTTGACACAAATTTGCTACCTCCCGACGCAGATGCCAATCATTCACATCGAACATAGAAGCCTTTAAGTGCCTTCTGACCCTGCGTGGAACTGACTCCTTCTGGCAAACACTGGCTTACACTTGGTACGCTGCTGCTGTATGGAAGTGAAATAATCTACAGATAAAAAAAGAAACTATCAATGGAGGATCAGAAGAATGTTGATCTGTTTTCATCTTCAATAAACACTGGGGTGATTGTCGGCATGCTTTATGGTCCAGTCTTTGAAATAGGGCTCGGAAGGCACTGTAGTCGGACAGGGGCATTGTAGTCGGACAGGGGCACAGTAGTCGGACAGGGGCATTAACAGGAGGACGTGGGGGACTGTTCTTTATGTATTAAATATGCATAGTCGATATTATTAATCATGCATAGTCTTACTTATTATCTGTTCATGGTATAACTTATTATCTGTTCATGGTCTAAATTATTGATAGTGCGTGGTCTAAATTATTACACTAACCCTAAGTTGAGTTTTGTGCCTATTGCAAACATTTATATCTGCTTTTGCATAATTGGTTATCTTAAATATTTCCTTTGGTCATAAAATTTTGAAAAAAAGTTAATGGGTTTGCAGTTAATATCTTTAATTTTTTTAGATCTAAGCCTTTACATATCTTAAAATCTATGAAATCTATGAAATGTGTGGAATATATGTTTTGTGGTATAATTATTAAACCTAAAATTATTAAAACAATAGATAAGATATTTATCTGTAATGTTCCTGAGAGGATCATTCTTGCTTTGGTTCTTCGAAATCACAATGTTAAATCAGCAGTATATATGTGTTCCATACAGGCAGCTGAATGTTTTCAAAAGATCATCACTTAGCATATAAAGTAGGCCAGGTTTACAAAGGACACATTAATGTCACATTACATTGTAGGGTCAGTATTTAACTGAGTTCACAAATATTAAAAAATAGAACTTGTGCTGTGTTATTACGTCCTCATAGATCATGGCTGAGTGTATTCAAAAAGTCACATAGTCAATTTTGCACGAAGAATATGTCATGACATTTACTTATCTGAAATGGTTTGATATTATCTGTGCATGCAAAAATGTTAATTGATTATTTCCTTAAAAAAAATCTAGAAGTTTTCAAGGAAACATGTCCACAAGATTGTATAGATTACTATGAACATTTGAGTTCCATGAACGATATAGATATATTCATGTATATGACCCATTTGGAAGTTTCTGCCTTGCAGCAACAGATGTGAATGACTCAGAGACATAAAACAGAACCTAGTTCGTCACAGAGGCCATCTGGAGCTGTGAGCTTCATAGTCAGATTAAATATTCATCTGTTTTTTGACTGGCACGATCACTGTTTTCAAATGGCATTTATTCATGGGTCCCATGAGATGGGAGGAATTGTGAGATTTGGTGAAAATCATGGGGTTTTATGTCAAGTTCACAGACTGGGTTTGAAATAGAATATTGTATATACAGAAGTTACTCTCTGATCTAAACAAAGGCCTTTCCCATCTGAGGGATATGTATCTCATAAATATAAACCTGGCTAAATATAGGTTTCAGGGTCACTGTCGATTGGCTGCCATCAAAATGTAACATGGATACAGTATGATATATTGAATTATTACTATATATATATTTGTTTACGATATACAGTTGAACTCTAATGGATATAGAGAATACTAAACGACCTTTCGTGTAATACCATTTTTATTAGACAAGTTAATGATTTGGTATCGAGTGAGTAATTTTAGTTTTATGCTGCACTCAGCAATATTCCAGCTATGTGGCGGCAGTCTGTCAATAATCGAGTGTGGACCAGAAGATCCAGTTATCAACAGCATGAGCATCGATCCTCGCAATTGGGAACCGATGACATGACTGTCAACCAAGTCAGCGAGCTTGACCACTTGATCCCGTTAGTCGCCTCTTACGACAAGCATGGGTTATTGAAGATCAATATTCTAACCCAGACCTTCATGGGTCGAATTGGTATCAAGCGAGTGAAAGCAAGTTTGATTCTAAATGTTTCATGAGTTTAATAAGAATGGTATTTCATGGAAGTGAGTTTAGTATTCTGTTTATTACTCTACAACTGATAGAAATGCCTACAGTGTGATGACTCGCAGCTTTAAGCAAGTCAAGCAAGGTCTAATAGGATTGTGACAGAGGTGTTGGCATTGTGACATCATAACTGTAAACCAGTTTCTAAACTAGTGTAATACTGCCGTAAAAATATTACACTGCAGTATCTTCCACGTGCGAGTAATAAAAAGTATTTCACGAACTTCATCCTATTATGGATACGGAGCTATGACTATTCTAAAAACTGATGAAATAATGACTGGGCCTCATCCTCAATATATCGTTTTGTACCCATGTTTAAACATGGTAAACAGATCGAGCTTGACCCTGTCAGCCAAAATCTGTACTTGGGTTCTGCATGAGTCATTTTCAATATCCAACTCTTGGTAACTAGTTATATCAGGGCAGTGCACTAAGCTTGTGGTTCAAGTGTTTGCTCTTGAAGTGCCGCATGTGGAGCCCTCACTGACTTCCCTCTCCATGATGTTACTTGTAATATGTTCTCCTGTATTGAGTAGACAAACTAGTGGTTGATAACACACAATCATCCAGGTCAAACATTGTTACCAAACATCCCAATCATGTACACACTCCACTGTAGAATGGAAAAGCTAGTGGTTGATAACACGAAAAACCACACAATCATCCAGGTCAAACATTGTTACCAACCATCCCAATCACGTACACTCTCCACTATAGAATGGAAAAACTAGTGGTTGATACCTTGGAATGATAAGAGGCGGTGGGGTGGCCCAGTGGTTAAAAGCGTTCACTCGTCATGCCAAAGACCTGGGTTCGATTCCCCACATGGGTACTATGTGTGAAGCCTATTTCTAGTGTCCCCTGCCATGATATTGATGGAATATTGCTAAAAGCGATGTAAAACTAAACTCACTCACTTGAACGACCGACACACAATGGGATACCATGTAACATTGAGCTGCAGGTGCAGCCTGTTTTTGTCTAGTGCAACAAGGCTATTACTTACGGTTGCACTAGGTGCAAGTAGGTTTCATTTCCTTAAATTGAGCCCTGGTTTACCTTTTCAGACATGAATATAAATCAGGCAGGTCTTGTTCAGATCAGTTAGGGTGTTATCTTTTTTGTTCTTATACTTAAATTTAAGACCATAACAGGTGCTTATCTCTGCTGTCTTGTAAGTATGTGTTGATAAGTGTTGATTCTACAGACAATCAAGGTATTTCTTAAAGCTGATTTCCTTTCCAATTATAGCTGCACAGAACATGGCTTAGGTTGCTCTCACACTTTAGACTGACCGACTGAGTTTGGTTTTACGCCGCTTTTAGCAATATTCCAGCAACATCACGGCGGGGGACACCAGAATCACACTTTAGAAGAAGTCTTTGAGCCATGTCTAATGGCTGCAAGACTTAATGCAACATGTGACCTCATCCCCTTAGTATGTTCCAGTGGAACCTTGACGCCAGTCTTATGATGACCAGATAGCCAGTGTCACTGAAAATAGAAGCCAGGATTAATTGTGATCTTGACAAAATATGATAAAATGATAGTCTACAAAATTCTTCAAAGAGAATCAATATTCTACAAGGGGCGGTTGGGTAGCCTAGTGGTTAAAGCGTTCGCTCATTACGCCCAAGATCCGGGTTCGATTCCCCACATGAGTAAAATGTGTCAAGCCCATTTCTGTTGTCCCTGCCGGATGTTGCTGGCATATTGCTAAAAGCGGCTTAAAACCCAACTCATTCACTCAATCACTCAATCTTGATCTATGATGCAGTGTTGGAAGATGCATTATGTCAATATTCCCAATCTCAGTGACAGCTCAAATGAACACTTCATTAAAATTGCAAGCCTTTCTTCATGATGAGATCCCTTGACAATGAGCAGATGTAGGATTACTTTTACAATATATTTTGTCTAGGTAGCCTTAGTGGTTAAAGCGTTAAGCTCATTACGCCCAAGATCCGGGTTCGATTCCCCACATGAGTAAAATGTGTCAAGCCCATTTCTGTTGTCCCTGCCGGATGTTGCTGGCATATTGCTAAAAGCGGCTTAAAACCCAACTCATTCACTCAATCACTCAATCTTGATCTATGATGCAGTGTTGGAAGATGCATTATGTCAATATTCCCAATCTCAGTGACAGCTCAAATGAACACTTCATTAAAATTGCAAGCCTTGCCTTTCTTCATGATGAGATCCCTTGACAATGAGCAGATGTAGGATTACTTTTAGAATATATTTTGTCTATTGTTTTAGGGAAAGATCACCTTCAATGACGACCACAACCAGATGTTCGAGTACCCGTCTGAGGAGGCCTTGCTGTCCGACTACCTGGTCCTGCATCCTGACGAGCCATCAGAAATACTCATCCTGGAAGATGTGGGGTCTACCATGACTGAGTCCTCCGACGATGACGCCCACCCTCAGACCCCCAGAGGAGAAGAAGGGCAAGGAGGAGACGAGAAACTCAAGTCCAACACATCTATTACACACTCAGGTCAGAGATGAGACTGTGGTACTGGCAGTATTGACTTACTATTGCATCGAGGACAAAGTCACTATCCTTCAGGGGCGATGGGGTAGCCTTGTAGTTAAAGCGTTCGCTCATCACACCGAAGACCTGGGTTCGATTCTCCACATGGGTACAATGTGTGAAGCCCATTTCTGGTGTCCCCCGCCGTGATATTGCTGGAATATTTCTAAAAGCGGCTTAAAAAATCACTCACTATCCTTCAGCATGTGTTTGAAAGTATACTATTCTTCAGGATGTGTATAAACCTCACTATCCTTTTAGATATATATGAAAGTGAACTATCCTTTAGGAAATTTATCAAAGCTCACTTTCCCTTCCATGAAAGCACAATATCCTTTAAGACATATATGAAAGCTCATGCTCCTATAACGTACATATGAAAACTCTTATCCTTTAGGATATATTATCTGTCTTTTCCTTGGGACATGTATGAAAGCGTACTATCATTTAGAATGTATATACAAATTTGCTACTTGAGAAGACCATCTCCATTGCTTAGTGGATAGATCATCTGCTCAGTGAGAGGAAGGTCAGTGATCCCTGGCCACATCATGTCAAAGACATGTAAATAAATAAGAGTGAGTGGGTGAATTTAGTTTTACGCCACTTTTAGCAATATTGCAGCAATATCAGTGTGCAAAATAGCCACTGGCCCACTAGCCCATGGTTAGTAAAAATCTAGTCAGGCCAGTAAATCTCCAGTCATTGGCCCGACTGGCTAGTGAATTTTCATGGTGTCATTTTGTAAATATATCACTTTCTCCGACTTGTTAAGTTATAACACACTTATAAATCATGCAAGATTATGGCCTGATAAAAATGTTTATCATATGAGTAGCTTAATGGTGAAACCCGTGGCTATGTTCAAATTTCGGACTTGTAACTTTCAGGCATAGCGAGCCCCACTGGCTAGCAAAATTAGGAAACCATTTCACACATAGTGCAATATCATGGCAGGGGACACCAGAAATGGGCTTCACACATTGTACATATGGGGAATCGAACTTGGGTCTTCAGTGCAACAAGTGAATGCTTTAACCACTAGGCTACCCCACCGCACGATATAAAGCGTGTTTCCATTGTTCCCCTGCCTCAGTATTCAGGGGTATAGCTACCATTATAAAAAAAGGCCGGGCTTACACATGATTGTTCCTAAAACGGTAGGGCAAGCCCTCAATACTATCTACATATAAAGTTTTGCAACCTATCGGGCTTACACGAACAAATTGGCTTGCTACGCCTGGTATTGATGGGAAGAAACACGAATGGTCAGTCCATGTTGAACTGCAAACTATCTCACTGGGCTGGACCTATAGAAGTAGTTGGGACTAGAACAAGCATATGGCATGCATGCATACGGAGACATGTACATGCACACCTCCGTGTAATTCCTGTAATCTTTGAATGTGGTGTCTATTTCCATTTTACTTCAAATGAGTCTCGGTGAATATGTTGTCCCCATCCTATAGAAATCTTACCAGCCGTTTGAAAAATGTCTGACATGTTTTTGAATTCTTATTCATGATTTTGCCATTTTTTCAGGTGGCTTGTCCAGTTATAAAACCAAGTACAGTATGGATTTTGAATTCGGAGTACCCATGGACGAACCCGAACCTGAACCAGTTGTGGAACGTATGATCGAGGAAGACCCGCAAGGCCAGGCCATTCCTGCAGATGAGGAAACAACATGGTCCACAGAAACCACCTCCGACCTCTTGTTCTAGAAACTTTTATCAGTGCACGGAAATACGCAACAAGAGAACATTTTGTACAAACATGTACGTACAAGTTTACTTGGAAGATCTCCTTGATGGCCAAAGGTGCAGTGGTTATTGACTAAAGGGAGACAACTCTGTTCTTGTGCGTTGGGTATCCCTTAGATAGTGGGTAGGGACATATTGTAATATACTCTTATGTGTGTTTTTGCATTATTTACACCGTTATACGTGTATTAGATCCATATTGTGGCTCTCGTCAAGACGAGGCAATTCTTCTGGACTTGCCTAGGATCTTCATCGACTCGGACGTTGTCTTTGTGTATGTATATTGGATGGAACTACTTGTGTGCCAAGAACGCCCTAGTTATGTATTCATACACAGTGGATTTTTATCTTTGAACATACCCAGTTAGTTACAAGCTTGATCAATGGATATGTTTGATAGAATAGTTTGTGTGTCAAATGAGGAACTTACAGGGGTACTTGTAGAACTGCCTTGCAGCAGGAGTGGTTCAAGGAAAAAGATTATTTTACAACATATTGTTGAACCAATCATCGTTGCAGTGTTTTTATTATTCATGAAAATTTATAACAAAGTTTTGTCTGATATTTGGGGAGTATACACTTTTCCACTTCCTGAATCGGAAAGGATACATACATTTGCTTCTCAAGCAAGTTATATTAAAAGATTATAAGAGCTAGTGGAAGCAACAAATAGAGAGTTTCCCTTATTACACTGGTAACCATAGTAACTGTTGCTGGATAATATAATAATTAGCATCTGTGATGGGATATATTATGAATAAGGTATATATTATGAGAGTATGGTATCTATCATCCGAATATCATACTGTGGTGTTTTATGCAGCCTGGGCCAATCAAAATTTCAGTAGTTTAATACTTCAGAGGTCATCTGACATTTTCCATTTCTTATTGAAGTTTTCATCATGTTTACATCATAATAAAATGTTCAGAAACATGATTTGTAATAACAAAGTATAAAGGTAACCGTTTTTCTCCTTGGGTCATCCGACGCCGAACATGGCACTTTGCTGATTAGTCCCCCTAATGCAGTGTGTAATCATGTGATATGTTTACATACATCCTGACTGGGGTGTTTCATTTAAAAGAGTGGTTTTACTATATATGTTTTCATCCAGCACGCACCATTTCATTCCATTACTTTCAAACATCTGAAACTCTGTCTCTGTCTCAGTCTGTGTGTGTGCACATACTCCTACAGGAAGTGGTGTCTGGGAACATAATGCCAGGTGAACTCTGGAAACAGGAAAATACTCAATAGGTCAAATACGTCCAAGAACAGGTTCCTCCTGTGTTGAAGGGAGATAACTCCTGTTCCTGCTGGTGTTCGGGGGTTACAGTGTTGTACAGAAGCCTATGTCTACGTGATGTTGAATCTTCTTGCCAGAACAGTATGATGGAAGTTGTCTTTGTGTTGCTGTTTGTCCCTTTTATCATTTCGCTATGTATGTATCCCGATACAAGGAAAGATGGCTACAATCTCAATGACCATATATTTGAAGGTTCAATGCTAACAATCGTTTAACACTTTGACCAGGGGCAGATAACCCTTTGATGTTTGATGATGAGATGTATATAGATGTCAAGCATTGTCAGTAAGTCAGGAATGTTCTTGAAGGTCAGCTGTAGTTCTCAGGAAATATGTTCTTGTCTGATTCGACTTTCTGCTCAGAAAAATAATAATATTCTGCGCATATTTAACTTTTGTAGAGATCGTTTTAAGAAGCCGATTTGAAGCCCTCAGGGTTCAGGAGGATACATAACTGTTAAAGAAATCTCCATATTTGCATATGATATTTTTGGATAATAATATTTTAATATATTTGGACCAAATCTGTACTCAGCAAATTAATTAAGACCAATTCATCATTTGAACATGTTTTTCATAAGTTTGTGTTTCATCATCACAATCACTAACCAGTTGGCCCAAGGGAGGTAAGTCTGTAAGACTGTGTTTCCCATACACTGGAACAGCAGTAAAATCTCATTGTCGGTTATTTGTAAAATTTGTATCAGTTGAAATGTGTTCAAAGACCATTAAGAATTCTTTTTTTTTACAATTTGTTCGGTTATTTACAATTTCCCTCAGCTTTATCACATTCATTCCTCTTAAAGCTTTGCACCTCTGCATTCCTTTGTGCTAAAATGTTCTTCTTTCAACTGCACATTGCCATGTTTGATGATTTGTTTTACTTCATACATTTCGTATTTTTATAATTCTGCATATGATCTGTCTGTATTTATTGATGGCCGAAGATTGTGCATTCGTACTGAAAAGCGTTTAAGTTGTTTTGCAGATAAATCTTCTTCTTTTTTTCATATTTTTTCATCAAATTTTAACCTATTTTAAAAAACTTATTTCATTTTCAAACTTTATGAACAGATTAATCAGCCAGATATTTCATATATACCTTTAATTGTTGACAATTTTTTCAGATACAAAAATAGTATAAAATGTATGATATTTATGGAGAATGGATAACATTATTACACCTTAATGTCAGTAGTAAAATTGTTTTGTTACATGATTACTACATATATACCATAAAACATAAACCTATTTTTGTAGATAATTAGTATATTTTTTAATATGTTTATCCATCTACAGATATAGTTTTCTTTTCACCTCTGATTTGATGCTTTTGAGAGAGTGTACTGTTTTCCTGAAACTATGTGTCATTTCATGATGTTTACCCATCAACTATCTCAATCATGTGTGGTTCATTATATAAAAATCAATACTGTAATGACAAACATTGACGAAGTACAATAGAGAACTGATATAATAAATACTTCAAAAATGTACCGTGAAATATTCAGCTATGTAACCAATTATACATCTTTTTATTCCATGTTTTTGAAGGTAAATTAGTTGTATTCTTGGCAATTTATGCTTAATAGCATTTTTAACAAACATTTCTGAATTAACATTCCATCTATACCCAACACTTTTACTATTTTTCTGAATAAGCTCACGCTGTTTCATGTCCACCTAATGTTTTATTTTGTGCCAGTGAGATTTCAGTGAAAAAAATGCACTTTTTATGATGTATCCATTTATAGAAACGTAAATATGATGGGGAACATCTTAGTATGTTCCTTTGTAGAATAATTCAAGGGAGGTAACTCTGTAAAATGCATCTTAGGATACCACAACAAAATATCCTTCCTATGTCTTGTATATATGTACATCTATGCATGTTTGTACCATAACTATGTAAACACTGTACATAAGTAACACTGCATCTGCTGAAAGTGCAAAGCTTATGTTTTTATTGTTGTGTACAAAAAGAGACATGTTTTACATTAATTTGATTTATTAGTATTCAATGACACTGGTGTTTTATTAGCATTGTAGAGTTTTGAAGAATTCCAGAAAAATATGTAGGTATCACCATATAAACCTAGAATGTATGAATATTTTACTTGTGAGAGTAGCTGGCCTACTGTCCACATGTATAATGATTGATTTGTCCTGATTTGAGTGGTCTGCACAATAGTGCTGCATTGATTATCTCCCGTTATAAATACATGTAGTCTCATTTCCACATAGCAAACTCCTCACAGCACTACCCCGTTTGCGGAGCTCTCTGTAATATCTGCCACCAATTTTATTAGTTTGGTGATAGGAATGTTATGTACCTCTGTAAAACTGAGATAATGCTATAACAAAGGGGGAAACCACATGGTAATTCTGTAACAAAGGGGGAAACCACGTGGTAATTCTGTAACAAAGGGGGAAACCACGTGGTAATTCTGTAACAAAGGGGGAAACCACGTGGTAATTCTGTAACAAAGGGGGAAACCACGTGGTAATTCTGTAACAAAGGGGGAAACCACATGGTAATTCTGTAACAAAGGGGAAACCACATGGTAATTCCATGCTTGTCCAGATTGTTACCACTGTGACAAACCATGTTTACAACCAAACCATGGCCAACATTTCCGAAACGTTCGTAGCATACGAACTTCTTAAGCCCATTCTTAACACATTGGCTACGATCAAAGTTAAGAATTCTTAGGGCTACGAATGTTTCAAATATCTGGGTCCCTGTGTTTCATTCTGACGATGCAAAAACCAGATCTTATTTAAACACATGAACTCAAATGAAATAATGATACCTACTGAGTGGGTGAGAATATTGATCTTCAGTAACCCATGCTTGTCATAAGAGGCGACCAATGGGATCGGGTGGTCAGGCTCGCTGACTTGGTTGACACATGTCATCGGTGCCCAATTGCACAGATCGATGCTCATGTTGTTGATCACTGGATTGTCTGGTCCAGACTTGGTTATTTACAGACCGCTGCCATACAGCTGGAATATTGCTGAGTGCGGCATAAAACTAAACTCACTCACTCCAGTCCAAGAGCTACGTAAAAGCAAAAGAAAATATCCCATGGAATATAATGACTGAAAATTCGTCAAAGGAAGTATGCCAAACAAAGAACTACTGCTGTATCGGATGTACATTTGCTATGCATTTTCTAGAGTGACTTCGGGGGCGGCGGGGTAGCCTAGTGGTTAAGGCTTTCACTCGTCATGCCAAGGTTGGGGTTCGACTCCATGTGTGAAGCCCATTTCTGGTGTCCACCCACTTGAGTGAATTCAGGTGATATAGCTGCAGATCAGACCGGTGATGACTGTAGTCGATGTTGTGTCCGCCATCACTGCCGCTGTTGGTCCATGCTGTGTAATGAGATGCATCTATACAGAGACTCCTCCACATTCAGGACAAACACATCAAGATATAGTTATGTGCTATTTAAGTGGTGAATTTTAACAAAAAGAAACTGAATGTGAGGACAGTACCTTCATCATCAAAATACTGAATGTGGCATGTTTTGGTGCTTTTCGTGTTTGTAGATAAAAAAATCAACTCTGTCTAGTCTAGCATGAAACAAAGCATTTGGTGCACTGGCGTCAACTTCTGTCTAGATCACAGATTACTCTCTGAAACAGGGGGAGATAACCCTAACAATACCCATCTAAACTCAGGATCTTTGATTTACATACCATATCACTTAAGCGTAGAATTCTGAGCTCATTATCAAATATATTCTTGAGGTGTGTTTTTGAGGGATCAGAGATTTCTTTGGGTTGTTTCTTTCAGACTAACAAATATATCTGTCTCGTTGATGATATGACTATCTGACATCTCTGTTAAATTTGGGGGTTATGATTGCTTTGTACAATGATAGCCTGGATATTAAACTTAAGTTGTGAAAATGTCTCATCAAAATACCTCTTCGTGATCTAGCTAAGTTTATATCATGTTAAACTGCTCATATGACCAATATAAACATTTAAATGGTATTTGAGTAACAGCTGTAGAAAACTTTTGATTGTTTGAATGGGATAGGTTTTTTAATTTTATGAAGCCCATTTCTCTTGTCCCCCATCGTGATATTGCTGGAATATTGCTAAAAGTGGCGTAAAACCATACTCACTCACTCTTTTTATATTTTAACGTTATTATTTCATGGGTATAATCTTATAACATGAATTTGCATTAGATATATAATTGGTTATTCCTTGAATCTTGGAAGATATTGTTAAAGGTTGAAGGATGCCTGTCATCATAACCCAGTTGTGTACATCAATGCTCATGATGTCGATCACTGGATTGTCTAGCCAGGCTCAATGATTTACACAGTCATCATAGAGCTGGAATATTGCTACCCACCCCCACCCCCTATATATGTGCAGAAACGGGAAGACGGGAAGGAGCTATATTTGAGGATAAGTGGAAGAAATATATTTCCTTTTCTGCATTTGGCTGTTTTCATGAGAGGTTCCCCTCCCCAGTTTCAGAGAGGGATGTAGTTCAGAAGAGTACATGATTTTTTAGCATCTGTTTAACTTTTAATGTCATTGGGTTGCCTTGAATTAGATATGGGTTTGTTTATACATCAGTGGTGAGTAGTTCGTTGACTGAGTGAATGTCTGGCCCTTTGCCTGCAGAATTGTACACTTAGCTCATCATGCATATATTTTACATTGACAAAACCATACAAATATTTCACCTTGTCAGCATAATCTTCTCCTGAGATTTGTCCCCATATCACCAGTGTCTATACTCACAAGTAGTGTCCGTGTAACCATGGTAACTGAATGTAGTTTGAAAGCATATTACTAGAAATTTATGATATACCCAAAGATGAGTAATTCATTGTATTGTGAAATGTCAAGTATATTTTTAAATGAATCGAAATTTGGGAAAATGGAGAAAGGTACATAAAGATGACATACCACTCAACGTTTCCGAATAGTAAAAAATGTTGTGATTTGGAAGTAATTGCCATCCATATCAGACTTTTCCCCACTATCTTATTCAGGTGTGTGAATGGTTTAATTAATTATTGATTTCAGGAAAATGATTTTGAAGTTATTAAGTCAAAACATGCAACAGTTATTCCTATCCAGGTTTCTTGTTTATTAAATATGGGCATAAATGTGTGAAGCCCATTTCTGGTGTCCCCCGCCGTGATATTGCTGTAATATTGCTAAAAGCGGCGTAAAACTAAAACTCAGTCATTCAGTTTATTTAATAATAGTATTTGGCAGAAACTTTGAAACTTCTCCTTTTTCCCAAACATTGTCTATCCTGTACCAGAAACATGTCTGCCAGGGAGACCTGATGTTCCCAGGTGCCGATATAGTGCTGGTATCCCCTGTATATAAAGGCTTGACAGCATACCTGGTGGTCATAACATTCATGCATTCCTTCCTTGTATGTATTCTTATTTGATGCAAATGCAAATAAATATTAGCAACATACATAGACTTTGTTGTATTTTTCATGAGGTAGTCTTGGTTACAAAATATAATCTATATTTATGTGTGTGTGAGAATATATATAATGTTGGTTTGAGCGTTATTTTATCTGTATCTGGTCATAGAACAATAAGTGGTGTTATACTTTTTTCCCAGTTGGGATTTGAACCTGGCTCTGATTATACAGCTACCACTTGTGTGTCCCTAGGGATGGTGTCTGGGGCAGGCAAACAAGTCTCATGTCAGTGAGACATGAGTGATCTCCCTTGGCCACCTTGATAACCACATGGTTCACAGTTAAATGACCTTTTAGGGACCCATTCATAATCTGTGTGTGTGTGTGTGTGTGTTTCATCATGATGATGATGATGATGATGACGATTTTAAGGGGGGTCACCAATTTGGTTCTGGGTAGGGGCATCAATTTCCCAGGGGTGGGTGGGGTGGTGGTGTTGTCATTGATTTTTTACATGACATGCAGGGGTCACTTGCTTGATACATATATTATTATTTTTTTTTTTTATATTTATTTTTATTTTTATTTTTATTTTATTTTTTTTTTGGGGGCGTCATTAACACTGTGTACATGCTTCTCCATAAAAGTCATCTCCGATGAATACAGCTTTATGCATGGTTGAAACATCAGTTATCACCCACCCCCAGTCAGGGTGCAAGTCTCTCACACAGACCCACTGAAGAGTTTTGTAAGTCTCGCCAGTACTGTAGCAGACCAGCACATCAATAGCAGTAACCCAACCAAAGTTACGTTGGTTCTTTGTGAAAATAAGCAGCAATACAGTTTCCATGATCATAAGAAGTGGGTGCTACAACACTGGATCATTTATACCATTACTACAATATTGTCAGTTTCTTTTAAATCACTAGTAAATAGTGTTCGCAAAATAATGGTATACCAATACCAATAGTCTGGGATTCTCTGCAAAATAATAACCTACGTAAAGTTAATGCCATACGACACATTTCTGGAAGTGAACTCAAATGTTTAGACTTGTTTGTCCAACACACCCCACAACTGGGAATCTGGATCAAACTTGGTTCCTATAGCAACTTCCTGAGTACGGGGCACTTGGGTAGCCCGGAGCCGGCTTTGATCCCCACATGAGCACAATGTGTGAAGCCCATTTCTGGTGTCCCCCGCCGTCATATTGCTGGGATATTTATAAAGGCGGCGTAAAACTAAATTCACTCAATCACTCTTATCAACTTTCGCCTGTCCAAAGAATAGCAGAAGGAATCCAGTGACCAGAAGAGACGGGACCAGCATGGCGTCATTTCGAGGGCATCATCACGCTTTGGGTGTAAAGCTTGACATACCTTATCATTAGGATGGGATTTTGTTATATAGCCTATAGATCTATATATTTTTAAATCACAATGCTTAGGCTGTTTTATGTTTTAAAGTCCCCAGGTATCGCGTATACGTTTTACGGTGATCACGAAAGCATCTCTTAGTTTCCTACAAAATGTTCTGTCCAAGCCGCTTGTTAATTCGGGGTATTGGCAAAATGTGGACTGACTGAAATGTGCTTTCTTTTCAAACGCCAGACATGAGCTTATCGGAGTAGGCTACGCTCCTTGTTCCTTTCAAAGAAAGTAACAGTAACGAGCATTAACGGTCGTACGCTAAAACTGATAGCTGTTTTACGACAGAGTAGTGAGTGAGTTTAGTTTTACGCCGCTTTTAGCAATATTCCAGCGGTGACAACAGAAATTGGCTTCACACGTTGTACCCATGTGGGGAATCGAACCCGGTTCTTCGGCGTGACGAGCGAACACTTTAACCACTAGGTTACCCCACCGTCCCTACGACACAATAAGTCAGCTTTATACATGATTAGCCCGTCACTGGTTGACATCTTGTGACAACGTCCCATAAGAGTCAGTGAGTGAGTTTAGTTTTACCCCGCTCTCGGCAATATTCAAGCTATATGGCGGCGGTCTGTAAATAATCGAGTCTGGACCAGGCAATCCAGTGATCAACAGCATGAGCATAGATCTACGTAACTGGGATACGATGACTTGTGTCAACCACGTCAGCGAGCCTGACCACCCGATCCCATTAGTCGCCTCTTATGACAAGCATATGGGTTACTGAAGATCAATATTCTAACCCGGACCTTCACGGGTCCCCATACGATGACATGCATAATAAGTTTAGAATATATCCCAATCCGAAGAAAAACTACATTCAAAGCCACAAAACGTGTAACTGACAAGTGTGGAAATACGTTTTGAAATGTCCCAAAGCATAAATAACTTTTGTATTATTATTTTTTTCCCAAATGTTAACATTTGTTCTTTGAAATAAATGGTTAAAATGTGATCTGAACGGTGTTTAGAAAAATTACAGATTTTGTCATAGGAGAGACAAAAAAACAACAATTTCGTAACAACCCAGCGCGGTTCATCCGAGAGAGACAGATTGTACCCATCGAGTTCTTACATGAAACAAAGTTACACCGTATTTTTACGTTAACCATTCCATTTTTATCATCTATGGATACATCATAGAAACCGTCCTACAGGGGTCCAGTAACCTTGGAGATTTACTGGCCCGACTGGATTTTTACTAGCCACGGGCTAGCGGTCCAGTGGCTATTTCGAACACCGCACACAAGAAGCCTTGTCACCGATACCATCCTCTCTAAAGTTTTGTCCCGATCGGCACTTTAGCATTGGAAGCTTTTTTAGCCATTAGCACAGGGAAATGGGGGTTCATACATTGTACCGATCTGGGGAATCGAACCATGGCCTTCGACGTGGTGTGCAAACACTTTCACCACTAAGCTACCCCATCGCTACTGGCCATAGTTATCCTTTTATCAGCCCTGTTTAATATACAGATCGAATCTTAGTCGCTCTCTCAGTCTCTGAACAATAATATTTTCTTTCAAACACGACTCTTATACTGCAATACTGCCGCAGTTCTTATCTTTTGTGGGTTTTCGTGGTTTTCATTAATATTTTTGTAAGTCTTCCATGTGGTCTGAATGTGTCTTCTCACTGGGCTCCTTGTGTTAAGGGGGCGGTGGGGTAGCCTAGTGGTTAAAGCGTTCGCTCGTCATGCAGGCCGAAGACCCGGGTTCGATTACCCACATGGGTACAGTGTGTGAAGCCCATTTCTGGTGTCCCCCGCCGTGATAAGGGACCATTCATAATTCATGATTTTAAGGCGGGTCACCCTTTTGTTCTGGGGAAGTAGGGTTTGTCATCAATTTGTACACATGTACTAGTGGGGGGTGGGGCAGCAATTTTTTGCACATAAGAATATTAAAAAGATATGCTTACAAAATATGGGGAGGGGGGGGTTATTGATTTTGTACATGACATGCAGGGGGGCTCACTTACTTTGCACATAAATTGTAAGGGGGGTCATTCACATTGTACATGCCTCTCCATAAAAATCCCCACCCCCCATCCTAAAGCCATAAATTATGAACGGACCCTAATGCTGGAATATTGCTCATTGTGTTGAGGACCCGAACATATCGTGTTTTATTACATTAAACACACCCTTCCTCTCATTATACCTTTTAACGCGAGACGTTCCAGTTTGATCTAACTTGAGATTAGATTTGGTCAAAACAAAATGAGATATTCAAGTCATGATGCACGCCTAAATCAAGGCGTGTGAGTGACATTTGACGTGTTGTTATTACATATTTTACGAGCGCCTTCGTGAATGTAGCAAGCGGTTGCCTTATGCAGATCCTATAGTGGCATACAAGTAGGGGTATGTATGTTGGCACTTATGTAGAAATATTCCAATCCGAAGGAAAACTACATACAAAACCGCTTAACGTACGTGTAACCAACAAGTTAGTCTGTCTCACAGTCCCTGAACCACATTATTTTCCCCACTGCCAAGCCATCTCTGCAGTGCTAAAGCCCTAAATAAAGCAAGTCTAGATTTCCTCAGGTTCTGAATCTCTGGTCTCCCTAGGGCTCCTTTTCAATATAAATGGGCTTGTTTGTTACTATCAAAATTATATATATTCAGAGACTAAGCCTTAGTCTACCAACAAGTGTGCAAGTACTTTTATAATGTTCCAAAGCATACAAAACAAAGACTTTTGCATTTTTTTCTTTTTCCAAAATGTTAACATTTGCCTGTTGAAACAAATGGTAAAAATGTGATCTGAATCGTGTATAGAAAAATCACATATTTTGTCATCAGAGGAGACAAAAATAACACACGATGAGACGTTCTCATGAAATATTCGTTCCGTTTCCTGAAATACCATTCAATTTGATAACAACCCAGCGCGGTTCATCCGAGAGAGCCAAATTGCACCCATCGAGTTCTTACACGAAACAAAGTTACACCGTACTTTTTATGTTAAACCATTCCATTTCTTTTATCATCTAAGGATACATGATATTGACGAAAAATGGGAACAACAAAGAGTCCTACAGGGACAAAATAACTAAGGAGATATTCATTTTGGGTTCCTACGCGCGCACCGACTACGAGAAACTGAGATTACATTTTCCTAACGGAGTATTACGATAAAACGTATTAAATGGATGGCAATCAAACCACGAATTCGTTTATACCAGCTGGAGCAATTAATAACCCTATGAAAGTTTTAATACAGTGGTATGTGTATTGGTAAAGTATAATTAAATCTGCCTCGTGACAAAATTTTGCATTGATGCATTTAATCTACTTTTAAGGAAGCGCTTTTATTCCAGTTTAAACTATAAACCATTCATTATCATGTTGTTACACAAATCAAACCCTTGATATTCTGATAAAGTCCAGCATGTCCATAATCACGTTCTTAAAGTGTGTATATATTTCCATAAAGCAAGAACTCACCTCAATATTATTCGTAGACTGTAAACTAGTTGTCATGAATATGGAGTCAAAAATAATACTGTTTCCGGTCACGCAGGCGCAGAGTAGACCTCTTTCCCCGCTTTCTAAATTAACATGGCGACTCCAGCTAAAGTCACAAAACCAGAAGGGAAAAATAACCACGACACGGCAGATGAGCAAGCAGGTTTGTATTCACAGATACACTTGAAATGTGTGTATTTATGTGCGCTAATAATTTCGTAGATTCAATCAAACGGTGGTGCACAAGAGCCCCACCAAACCGAACTCTGCCTCAATCACGAAAGCCACATGTTCCCGGTCTTTTGTTTAGTCGTTCGAATTTCCTAAATCGAAGCGGTGAAATAAGCGATCTCGATTTGATTTCGCACTATTGGCCGTTGATGTTGGTAGCAGTTGTTATAGGAGGAGGTATGCGTCATTATGAATTACGACTTAATCTTTCATCAGAGGTGAAATTGAACAGTTAAGCGTCATGCGATGTTGTTGTGTGCCTCTACACACCGATCCATTACGTCATAGCAGTTCAGCAAAATGTAAACAAACGCCTCTCGGTAACTCGTTGGGTAGTGTATAAATATTTGGAATATTCTCATATTTGGAATATTGTTTACGTGGGAATAAATTAAAGTCACTGAATATAAAGAGACATACTGAAGAAGGAAACATTGTTTTGTCCGTCCATCCTTGCTTATCTCCCTTTATAAACTAAACCATTCAGAATGACTGTTTCTCGATTATCTTTATAAAAATTAATTATATTAAATTTTAGAATTAAATTCCATTCCCATTTGATTTGTATAACAATTAAGGAATTAAAATGAAAAACCTATCAATTTGGGGGGAAATAAGTATTCTCTGTTTAATAACAATAAGTTCTTCACAACAAAGTGTTGAATAGTTACTTCGAAATAATATTGTTTAGCTGCTCTACAATTGCTGCTTATCCAAATATGTACAAAGTCGGTTTCCTAAAAGAAATTCAATTTTAGATGAACAAGAGTTTTTAGTTTTTTTACTTCACTTTGATTATAAAGTACGCTGGGGGAAAATTAGCCTGTCCTGATGCCTGTAATTTTTCTTGTAATGTAGCAGTCACTGTTGATTTTTTTTATATGCTCTAAAAATGTTTGCCTCTTTCTTAACCAAGAAATAGTTCCAGTCTGTAAAGGTTTATGAATAATTTGTGACTTGTTTGTTCTCTAAGAGCATTTATCTACATGGTTTTCTTAGTGGTGCTCCAAGCAAATTAGATCGGTGATATGGTATTCAGTTTGGAAGTAATCTGTTGATTTGAATCTCTAAGTTTGATGTGTTGATGTTTGTGTGAAGTGGACAAGCAAATGAATGATTAAACCGTTAAAACTGTATCCTGTTCTGTGCAAAATAAATGAAAAATACATTATAAAGGTTATCTCCATTACATAATGTGTAATTGGTCATGGAAATAGTTGCAAAGTATTTCACCTGGAGTTTCCAGTTCCTGCTTTGTCTTTGTTGAATAATCAATTTAAATATTTGTTGCAAGGTTCGATATTATGTAGTAAATATAGCCATATAGCTGTAATATTGCAGAGAGGAGCATTAAACAACAACCAATAAAAAACTAACGGAAGTCAGTACATGAAAACACCATACATGTACTAACATTTAATGGGTTGATGTCTTTGAATATCTACATGTTAGATGTATTGTTGTTTCAGATAAAGAGCAACAAGAGGCAATAGAACAAATAGATGAGGTCCAGAATGAAATTGACCGGCTAAATGAGCAAGCGAGTGAGGAGATTCTCACAGTGGAACAAAAGTACAACAAATTGAGACAACCTTACTTTCAAAAGCGGTCAGATTTGATTGCCAAAATCCCAAATTTCTGGGTAACTGCTGTATCCTTTCAGTCATGAGTTTTACGTGCACAAATATCTAGTTGACTGCGGTAGCACTGGAATACCCAAATGTGTTGGGTTTTTGTTTTGCTATATGCAGGCGTAGTACATCATTTATCAAAAATGGCAACAAGTGGATATTAGCCATTCCCATGATTCTTTTGACATATCACTTTAGTGAAGTACTAACAGCATTGACATTCACTGTTGGTAATCTTTGTGTCTCTAGCCAGAATATGTGCTTTGAGCATAATTTTTCAGGACTGCTAGTTTTGATACAAGAACTTACTAAACAAACCTTTACCAGAATTAGTCATGGGAATGGCAACATAATTTGTAAATAAACTTATTCATGTAGATTAGTTATGAAGAACATTATGATGAATTATGTGTTAATTATGTTATTTGGCTTGAGATCTGATTTTAATGTGTTTTAACCCAGAGTTGTCAGTATAATCTTGGGCCTTACTTGATTCTGTAAGCCTAATGGTTTTCAATAGATAAATCTGGATCTTATATAAGTTCTGAATGTTCATTTTCCATGAGGCCTATGTGCCCTTATATATAGCCACGTAAAGTCAGTCTGAGGCAACTAGGACCATGAATAGACCTTAACTATGGCAAGTTTGTAAATCACCCTCAAGTATCAGCACTGCTTAATGAAGAGGATGAAGAGGCCTTACAGTACCTGACCAAAGTGGAGGTGCAGGAGTTCGAAGACATCAAGTCAGGATACAGAATAAACTTTGTAAGTGAATTTACAAGCTTAGTGTGGCTGAAATACTTCCTAGAAACAGTGTGTTTTTCCCATAAACAGCAAAAATTCCAGACAAGATAGGTTGTTTATTTTCATTTAAACAATTCGGTGCAAAATTCAGGTAAGAGATTTGATGTCACATCACTACCCAAACTAAAGGGTTTATGGTATTTATCATATTAAATTTATTTAAAGGCACGATATCACACATTTTTGGCAATATTTTGGACTATATTATACATATTGGGGCGTATGCACTCACTTTAGCTTTTCTATTGATGCAATAGACTTATTATCCCTCATGACTTGCCTGAAATCGATAATTGAAACTTTGAGGCAAACAGAACACTTGCCATATATGGAATGTAAACAATTGGTGAAAACTCTTGCACACAGTGTTGTTGGTGTTTGCCAAACTGGTATATTCAGAAAGGGCTCTCCAAGGGACATAACTCTATGGTTTTTTTGCTTGAAATAATGTTCAGTCGGCAGAGGGCACGCAAATCAATTTAATGCAACATTGCACTAATTCATTCGAACTTTTTAATGTAATGTTGTAATTTAAGTTCGTATTTGTTTTTAGAATAAATTATATGGTAGCTTCCCTGAGGGATGATAGTACTGAGAGAATGCTTTATATATTTTTATAGAAGTCTGGTGTGATAAAGTGCCTTTAAAATATGCTTGTTCATCATAACTGTATTGTAAGTTCCTTTTTCTTCAGGTGTCTACTATAGATGGATATTGTTAGTGGTATGCATGATATGTGTGAAAATGTCCATTTAGAAAAACGATTGTCTATTGTATATGTCATTAACTAGAGTGGTCACATATTCTTGTGCAGCATATAAAATGTGTTTATTTTTTGTTTCAGTATTTTGATAGCAACCCATATTTTGACAATGAAATGATAACTAAAGAGTTCCATTTGAATGATACCGGTGAACCCTCCTCCAAGTCGACACCGATCAAATGGAAAAGTGGAAAAGTAAGTACCAAGGTTGCTCCGACGTGTCATGGTCTTGTTTCTAAGTGAATTTACAAGCTTAGTATGGCTGAAATACTTCCATATTTAACAAAAAAAAAACCCAGCAAACAGCAAAAATTCCAGACAAGATAGGTTGTGTATTTTCATTTAAAGAATTCAGTGCAAAATTCAGGTAAGAGATTAGATGTCACATCACTACCCAAACTAAAGGGTTGATGGTATTTACCATGTTGAATTTATTTAATGGCACAATGTCACATTTTCGACAATATTTTGGACTGTATTACATATTTTGGGGCTTATACACTCACTTTAGCTTCCTATTGATGCAATAAAATACATTGCTAATATTCTGTGCACTAAAAGTAAAATACCAAGAAAGTCAGAAATGTGAGAATAAAATGGTGATAACCAAACGTTATGCAGCCTCCAATCAGTTTTTGTACAGTCTTATATCATCAACCTGCTGTAAGTAAATATTTGTTTTGTCAGGACTTGACAAAGAAATCCAGCCAACCCAGTAAAGGACGAAAGAGCAACCACGAGGAACAGGAATCCTTCTTCTGCTGGTTCTCAGATCATGGGGATGCAGGTGCTGATGAGTTAGGAGAGGTCATAAAAGATGATATCTGGCCCAATCCTTTACAGTACTACTTGGTAGGTGTTCTGGGAGGTTGCTACCCCCAGCTTAGTTCTAGTCTGGTCTTCTGGTCATGCTTAGCTGACTTTGGTGTCTTGTGATATGTTTCTGATCTGTTGCCTCTATTAATATTAATGAATGACTGTTTAGTCGTGATACAATAACATTGATGATAAATATTGACCATAAATCTTAACTCACTCACTCATGATTTCTCTGTAGTTCCTGCAGATTTTTCAATCATGCACAAAAATGTGAATCCGGGTGCAAAATTTTAGACCTAAGCACCTTACAGGAAACTATTTCTGAAGACAAATATTTATAAGTCAAATGTCAATTTCTCTTTTTGCAGGCTTCAGAAATTGATGAGGAGGGCGGAGGTGATGGTGGTAAGTGTTTGCTTCATAAAGTTTTGTTGTCAGTTTTTAGGAGTCAAAACTTTCCAAACCTATGGAAGAATGTCACAGCAGAAATTAAAAGGTGAATTAGTTATACCACAAAGGGTTCTGTATAGGAACCCATGAAGATCCGGGTTAGAATTGATCTTCAGTAACCCACGCTTGTCGTAAGAAGCAACTAGCTGGATCGGGTGTTCAGGCTCTTACCTGGTTGACACATGTCATCATATCCCAGTTGCATAGATCTATGCTCATGCTGTTGATCACTTTATTGTCTTGTGGAGACTATTATTTACAGACCGCTGGAATATTGCTGAGAGTGGTGTAAAACTTAACTCACTCTGAATAGGAATTATATTGGATGACACCTGTTCTAGACTATGATTTTGCTGTGACATCAGTCGACATTGAAAAATGTACCAATGTATCATTCCCTTTAATAAATAATAATAATAATAATAATAATGGATATTTTTAGAGCGCCATGATAATACCTTATGAAGTTTTGTTTGTTTGTTTGTTTAATTCTTTCAACACCAGTCAACCAGAGGCATTTACTGCCATGACACCGAGTTCCCAGAGACTCTGAGGTCATAGATGAAGCCTATGTTTATGAAGGAAATTATAAGCTTGTAAAACGTTATTGCTACTACATCCCATACACCATTTAAAAGATCTAATCCTACTGTTGATAAATATGAAGTTTATTTTTATAATATTATTCAAATAATACAACTACAACTTAAATAAAATTATTTTTGAATGAAAATGCAAGCTTACATTTATAACGTCCAGATAAACCACGAAAGAAGCAAAAACTATGGCGATTTTTTTCCATTTGTGACATGTCATAACATGCCCGTGCCTTTTTCTTTTATATTTTCAATTTTACGTCATCAGAAAATTATTATAAAAAGATTTCTTAAATAATATGTATGGTCGCCTATTTCCCGATATCTGTGGCTTTCCGCTTGGTAACATGACATAACAACGGAAAATACCTCCGTTTTCGAAGCTTCATATGAATAACATGGGAGGCGAATCGTTTGATGGCGGGTATCGTTCGAAAGCTCTGAACATCAACAACATCACTGAACCCTTGCCGAGAGTATTTTCACAGTTGTAAGAAGCGATTTTGCTGGATAAAAATTGGTTTCTAATGACGCTTTTTCGCTACAGTCTGCTATAAGGGTCGTGATTGGTCAAAATCAGACACATGACCTAAAGCAGCCAATCATATTACGGCAATGGATACCGTCCTCGTAAACGAAAACTTTTAGATTTAGACGAAAGTTTTGGGTAAAATAATGTTATTTTGAACATATTAAGCAAGAAATCGCTACCTATACGTAAATTATGGAACTTATTGGACGTATCGTGCTAGGTTATGACCTGTGACAAAAATGCTTCATGCATATATTTTCGCATTAAACATCGTGTCCGAGCGTGAAAATTGAGGCGGCGAGAGCCGAGATGTCACTTGTCAATGACTTGACTTACATTACGTGATCGCACAAAAAGATGGAAATAGTAATTTTATTTGTATGTTTGACATATTTTATGAATGTTGTTGTTGATTTTATTCATTAGTTTATTTAATTTATTTAATGAATTCCTCGAAACATCGTTACTTTGCTCTTTGACAATATTATTGTGGACCCGCTGCCGAAGCATTCGTCCGAGAATCGTTGTTTTCAATAACATTGCGAAAAATAGTTTATAATTTTAATTCTGCTGATAAATTGAAATTTAATATGTGTTTTCAGACATTGTGAAATGTGATAGATTTAATATATGAATCATAAGTCAGGTAGGTTCCTAAAATTATGTCTCATTTTGACGTGACTACTGCCTGGCCGCTTAATCGGCCTCCGGTGTCTGGGGACTCATAACGTTGTGGCCGCTTAAGCGGCCTGCGGTGTTGAATGGGTTAATGTTGCACAGAGAAATATTCCAGCAATATGAAGTTGGTCGGTCAGTAAATACTTAAGGCTGGACCAGGCAATTGCATTGATCTGTGGATTGCCTGGTCCAGACTCGATTATTTACAGGCTGCTGCCGGATCATATAGCTGGAATATTGCTGAGTGTGGCATGAAACAACAAACAAACTAGAAAACCCATTGTTACCATAAACCATCTTTCCACAGAATTGTGGCATAAGGACATGGTATTGGCCAAGTTACTGTGTCACACAAACTAACCCACTTGGTTGACTTTGTCGTATCTTTGGTTGCCAGCAACACATTCTGACCACTAATCAACACATGGAGGTTAAAATAGCAAAACAGAACCAATAAAGAGTCAGACTGAAATAATTACATTCAGGGCTCCTGCTAAGGGCCGTATCAGCATATGTACGGAACAAATATGTGCAAGATACGGTAGGGAATAATTTAGAAAACGTAGCAGATACGCACCACAGCAATGGTGTACGGTCTTAGAATCATTTACAGACGTATTTATCTGAAAAGGTATTGTTTTATTGTTTATTGACCTGTTTACACAAGAGTAGCAATGTAGTGGTGTATATATGAAACGAAACACAAGATTACTGATACTCCATTAAATTCCAATCAGTGCTCTAAATGTACTCTTAAGTTATTCCAGTACTTCTATATTGAAAAAAATTAGGAGTACATACTCCTGATGTTGAAAATGTATCTGGAGCCCTGTACATTATTGGCCTGATCAGTATATCATCGTTTTAAGTATACAACTTGAACTGCCCATTGTCTGGTACATGATATTCAGTCCTAATGGGTACCCATACATGGCTGGTGATAGAAGTCACATATACAATAGACAGGCCTGAGACACCAATTATGTTTGTTAGACCTTCATCCATGCTGTTGGTTGTTACAGATGATTTGGATGAGGAAGGTCTGGATGATGAAGAAGGGGATGTAGAAGAGGACTTTGAGGGGGAAGATGAGGTGAGTGTCATTTCTACGTTGCCCAACATTTATTTTCTACTTACAGTTTGTAATATTTGATGTGCGTATATCTTTATCTGTAAAGCTAAAAATATATTGGTAAATTTGGTCTGAGCCCCACCTATCTTAGCTAAGATGATTGCAACGGTCATGCTTTTGCATTGACCATAAAAGTGGGCCCTGGCATTTGATGGTGTGGATATGTTCATAAATAGTATTGCATACTTGCTTCTTGTGTGTTTTTCCTTCCTTCACTATCATGGTGGAAGTTTGTGGAAAGGTTTGTTAAGGCATCCCACACTTGTCATGATACAGCTCAAATATTGTTGATATGACATTAAGTTTTAATGTAACGGGTCTCAACCAGAACCCAAGCTTTTCTGTATGAATTTTTTTTTTTTTTTCCATGACCCACAAAACTGAGTCTGGTAGTGTGTCAAATGTGAATTTGAATAGAATGACAAATGATTATTCCTATCAAATGTTAAGAAGTAACACTGCTTAATGTTAAGAAGATACACTTGGACAGTAAGACTGCAGGGAAAACAACATACTGTAAATTGTAGGAAAAGGTAATATAATCTCCAGCAATGCAAGCTAATTTCGAGATTGCTGTTATAAGCATCATGATATATATTTTTAGGGCCATAGTTTGTACAAAACAGCATCACTCACTGTAGAACAATTTATAAGAATATGTATTGCAATACATATCCCAGTCAGCCACCAGTCTGAAGCTGAATAGAAGAAAGATTTACTCCAGTTTCATAAAGTTGCCTTGAATTTGTCAGAAACATTTAGACTAAGTTCCATTCAAAATATTTGACAGGAAGAGTTGAGACCGTATGAAAGCTGTTTTGACCCAGATAGCGTGGATGTGGGCACCCAATTACTTCATCACCGTTGAATTAGCCTTCAAGAAAGCATTATCCTGTTGTGTTTCAGGAGTTGGGTGAGGAGGAGGCAGAGGATGGAGAAGAAGGCGGAGAAGAGGAGGAAGGTTAAGATCATCAGATCATCGGCTGTCATCGTCATTTCCCATCATTCACTGGCAGACTACCCTGGGTTGAGGCGGCGGCGGATACCAACCTGCACCCATGGCTAACTGTCAACACATGGACAACACTTGACTACACCAATGCTAGAGTAGATGTTAAGCATGTCGAGAGGTTTTGTTTTTGTATATTTGGCTGTGTTGGTTTATGGTTAACAGATGCGAGCCCAGCTTAACTCCATTACGATTTGACCTTTCCGACGTAAACATGGTAAGAGATAAACGTGAAGGAGTTAAAGGGTTATATGTTCTGTGTGACTTTGTGTGTGAGCAGTTCAAGTATTAGCTACGACGTAAACAGTTTCAATTAATTAGGTAAGTAATCCATTGGTGACACTCATCTCAGGAAAACTTCTTCATTGTATTTAAGTACAGTCCGTTGTACCGTGGTTTCTGAATGGCATTTCTATGTGGTCGTGAGGATATCAGCTGAGGGTTAGCCATGGGTGTCTTGGAATAATCTTTTGTTTTGGCCTGGTTTGGATGGATTTAACTGATTCATTCTTGATGGAGGTCTAAACCTACTGCTTGACAATTATTTTATGATCTTGTTTGTCTTGTGTACCAGATGTTTTATATTTTGGAAAGTGTTTAGGATAGATATGAAGAGACGAGTTTCACAGCGAAACCTCTGCATGTTTTAAGTAAATGTGTATTCAGTGTCTGATCCTGATGTTAAGAAGCGAACACATTCGGTGTTCTTACATATAAGTCCTTTTTTATTGTTATGAGTTTTTGGTTATCTTAAAATGTTATTTCTACAGTGAATAGACCAATGCATCAAATGATTTTTTTGTAACAGTATTAGGTAGTGAAATTTAAATCCAATGAAAGTTATTCCTCTTGCAGTTCAGTTGTGTATTTATGTTAAAGTTGACTTTGAGACCAATGTGTAATTTAGGTAGAGGTAAGAATTTAATTTTTAACAATTTCTTAACATACTCATGACAGTAATGAATTATACTGCCGAAGGTTTTGTACAAAGCACATCAACCATCAAGATCATTTCCATGAGGCATGCGACAAGGCAGTTCGTGTTTCTGTGTTGGAATAACGGTGTCGAGTCCAGCAATCATATTTGTGTATTATTATCAAAGATGTTGCTCTCAGAGTTCAGTAAACTAGAAACCTCCTCACTTCCATAAGGTAAAAACATTTTGTACATATGTCTTTTGCATTGGCATTGCTTTGCCAGCTTCACAGGAACTTACAACTTCGTGGTAGTGCTACCTTGCATTTATAAGCTCTGGAAGAGAGGAAAAGTGACATGTTTGGTAATCAGGGACTTAGAAGAGGTTGAAGTCTTTAAGATAGCTTCTCTGACTTGGCCTACGAGTTAAGATCTTTTGAAAATAAAGTTGTCCGAGGCTAAGTAATGTTTTGTTCTGGTGAGTTATCTGAACACCTAGTGCTAGATGGAGGCTACGAGTTTACTGTGAGGAGAGAGCCAACTGTTGTCATTTTGTACAAAACTGCAGTGCAGGGTTTATCAGGAACACTGTCTAGTGTTGGTGTGGTTTTGTATAGACCTTTTTCATAACAGATAAATCGAAACATTCGATAACCGTCATGTTAAATCATTAATAAAGATGTGTCATACCAAGTGAATCTGGTTTGTTTTCTTTGCCATATAATTCATGCTGTAACGCCAACCCTGCAACAGTGGAGGAGAAATATGTACTTAGTTTGGTCAGGGTCCACAAAGCGTTTGTAACATTATGTAACTCTCTACTATCGTAGGCTTGCTACTGGCATCGTCCTACAAACGTTTTGTGGATAGGGTCCCTGGTTCTGTCTAGGACTTAACTTTGAGACACAGGTAACCATATTTAAAGTTATGCATTTTCCAGTGCATAATAGCATGGGCATTAGAGATGTCACGATACATAAGTTTCATGAATCGATACATATCAAGATACCCATGTCATGATTCGATTTAGTTACATTTTGAACATTAATATTTCATATTTTATTATTGTACATGAAAAGATCAACATTTTGATTCTCAGATATTAAAAAGTTCTAATTTCCCATCCTTGTGCATGAAAAATACAATGCCGTCCGGTAATTCCGCACACCTAAGCACATTGATCGCAACACGGCGACTAATGTCTCTTATTTTTTGTGGTTTACGTGACTAAACATGCTGGTATGCATCATATTTACCTAGAAATATAAGATTTTTTGATGACTATAAGATTCTAACGTTGCTGTCCAGTAATTCTGCGCAGCAACTGATGCGCATAACATCCAGCTGGAGATCCGAAGTATGGAAGCATATTAGGGCCAGATTATTTTCAAAAATCACTTCATCAATGTCAGGAAGAGAGTTTCATATTAAATCCAATTATGAATAATGAAGAAAAAGGTTTAAAAGTCTGAAGAAAACAAATTTTCATAAAACTGTCAATTTATCTGTCAGTTACTGTTATTTACTTACCTTTAGTGATTAAAAGCCAGTTCCTTGTAGTAATGTCCCGATTTAAAGCGTAAGTGTGGTAGCAGACGATGTTTACCTTCAATACAGAAGTATGCTATTGCAGCTGCGCGGAATAACGGGACTAGCTTGTAATCATAACTCTCATAACATCAAAAAACTGCAAAATGTAAACAATACATAAACATATTTAAACTGATACTTTCAAAACTAAATATCAACGCAGTTTTGAATGTATCGATAATTGTATCATCTTAGAAAAAGTATTGATGTATCGTGGCATCCCTAATGGGCAAACTGAAATGGTGGGATCACTCTGATTATCGTTACATCTGATGGTGGACGTTATGGAAGACGGGCATCATCTTGGACTAACCTAGGTGACATGACCAGGGTGCTGTTCTACAAAGTGATCTTTGCGTTAAGGTGCTATTAATTCCATTCCATAACATAGACTTACGGTAGTGCTATGGTTACGGAAGCATCATGGTCTGAAGTCCGTTTGGCTCAAAAGTGGACCGATGAATTGCAATCTAACTCGAAAACTTATAAACATAAAATACTCAATGAAACACTGATCATAATGAAAACGTCAGACCAACTCTGAGATGTGTTTTCAGAATTTATGTCCTAAAAATAAAAAAGTTGTTTTTCATACTATCATTAACATATCGACACAGTTAACTATTTGTTACGAGGAAGGAGTGCAGAGGAAGGGACAGCCGGGTGTGTGAGAAAGGATGGAGACGGCACAGCACAGGTTAATGAATCAATAACTTGTCGGCACATGTGCACGTGCTTCTCTAACACCTGGCTGTAGTATATGTTTATTAGGTTTTGAGTTAGATTGCAATTCATCGGTCCGCTTTTGAGCCAAACGCACTATAACTGAAGAATCCACCCTCTCAAATGTAACATGAAAGTACCAGCACAAATTCTGACAACTGGTCGTCTGCTTTGTTTGTGAAAGTTGTCATATTCCACGCTTAAAACTGTGAATGCCTTTTAGAAAGTGGTCAGATGTGATTTGTGATTACACATTCTCAGTTTATACAGATACTAGTACTTTCTTTGGGCGAGTCCTATGTGGATTCAAACCCATGATCTCGGTGAGGCACCAAATCACCAGCAGACAATGTCCGAGATCTAACCTGCTCCGCCACTGCGGCTTCCACAAAATGGAAGTCTGACAACTGGTAGTTTAGATAATAGGACAGGATCCTATTGCTGAAGGTATGATTACACAATGCATTGTACAAAATGGTCAAATGCAATAAATGCAGTTTTTAGGATTATTATTTCTTGGTAAAGTACAAATTTTAGTACTATTTTATTTATCCAGGGATGAGAATGAAGTTTTGAGAAAAACTCGGAAAACGAGCCGAAGCTCCTGATATTTAGGCATTTTAGACCTTTAAAACTGGCTCAGAAATGACAATATCATGAACACCGCAACCATTAACCATGTCCAGAATTAACATCAGAAAAGCGAAAGGACCTGACAACCTTGACGGCATTGTGTTGAAGGAGTGCAGACTTCAACTGTGTACAGTTTTCACTAGAATGTTTCAATTCTCAGTGACTACACACGTTATTCCTTCGGTCTGGAAAACATCAGAAATTGTACCAGTTCCTAAAAAGACACAACCTAAAGAACTCAACGACTACAGGCCAGTTGCTCTCACATCTATAGCAATGAAGTCACTGGAACAAATCTTGTTGAGACATCTCCGTCAGGAAGTTGCCGACATACTGGACCCGCTTCAGTTCGCCTACAGGTCAAGGAGAGGAGTTGTTGATGCCACACTGTCACTCCTTAATAATGTCTATAAACATCTAGAGACGCCTAAGTCATACATCAGGATCCTCTTCGTTGACTTTTCATCTGCGTTCAACACCATCCAGCCACATATCATCATGATACAGAAACTGTTGGACATGGGCGTTAACTCATACCTCATCAAGTGGATAGACAACTTTCTTGTGGACAGACAGCAGTACGTGAAAGTTAACGGGGCTGTATCGAGTAAACGGACCACCAACACTGATGCACCACAAGCCTGTGTGATATCTCCTGTTCTTTTCACCCTCTACACTAATGATTGTGCAAGCTCGAATTCAATCTGTTCAACTGTCAAGTTTGCAGATGATGCAGCAATTGTCAGCAAACTGAACGACACTGATTCTGAAAAACTGTATAAAGAGGACAATCATTTTACGACTTAGTGTGCAGAAAACCACTTAATCTTAAATGTCACAAAAAACAAAGGAACTGATAATTGACTTTCGGAGTAAACCCACAGAAATGCTTCCAGTGATAATCAACAATGAATGTGTTGAGACAGTGTTGGAGTATAAGTATCTGGGAACCTTCATTGACTCTAAGCTGAACTGGAACTCTAATACTGAAGCCCTATACAAAAAGTGTCAACAACGTCTTCATCGCATGCGTAAACAGATCTTTTAATGTTAACCCATCTGTGATGCCATCTTTTTATGTAGCATTTATTCAGAGTATTTTAACATTTTCCTTCCATTGTTGGTACGGGTCTCTCTCAGTTCATCTGAAATCTAAAATAGACAAAATTGTTAACACTGCAAGTAAAATCGCTGGAGTCAGATTTGAATGTTTATCATCAATATAGCAGCAAATCGTGAATCAAGCTGTCAAAATCATATCTGACCGTACTCACTACTTAAATTCGGAACACAACCTCCTCCCTTCAGGCCGCCGCTACAAAGTTCCAATTGTGAAAACTAAGAGAGCCCGTACATCCTTTATTCCAAGTACCATATCTCTCTTAAACAAATGTGAAGATACCTAAATCAAAGAATGTATGTAAATATGTTTGGTATCTCTCTAATGTGTCAGTAGCTCTGCTGATGTAACACAAGTTCCTGAAAAGGCATTAAAGTATTATTCTATTCTATTCTATTCTAAAAAACTTTAAATCTGCTGAAGCACATTCATACAATTGTCAATGGATTTAGATGATTCACAAAAATGACCCTTGGCCTTATGAAAATTCCCGGAATTCCACGTAAAATTCTCATCCGTTTATCAGATGGATGAATGAGTTTATTTATAAGCACATACTCCAAAATGTTTCCTTGTATTAAGGAAGCTGATATACATGAAGTCGCTTCATCAAATCTAAATGACATTCAGTGACCTGAGACACGTGAAGGTTCCGGGTTAGAACGAACCTTCAGTAACCCATGCTTGTCGTAAGAGGTGACTAACAGGATTGGGTGGTCAGCTCGCTGGCTTGGTTGACACGTCATCAGTTTCCAATTGTGCAGATCGATGCTCATGCTGTTGATCACTAGATTGTCTGTAACTAAACTCACTCACTCAGTGATCTGATAAGACATCAACATTATTATTTACCAGAAGTAAAAATATATTCTGAAATATGTTCCTCATAATAAACATTTTGATATGCATACATCCCTAAAGCTCTGAAATCTGACAGGATATACAGTATACAAACTAAATCTACGGCCAGAGTTGTCGAGATAAACACAACCTCACCTCTTGGGCATCTTGCTGTGCCTCAAAGAAAGAACTTGCTGTGGTTTATCACAAATGAATACAAAATTACAATGATTTCAAAAATTGATGTATCTTTAATATGTCATTAACATATTTGACAGGAACAATCTGTGGACATCATGATTTTGTACACAACATGCAGGGGGGTCACTTACTTTGTACATAAAGTTTTGGGGGGGTCATTCACATTGAAAATAACCCGTGAAGGTCTGGGTTAGAAGGAAACCTTCAGTAACCCATGCTTGTCATAAGAGGCGACTAACAGGATCGGGTGGTCAGGCTCGCTGACTTGGTTGACACATGTCATCGGTTCCCAATTGTGCAGATCGATGCTCATGCTGTTGATCACTGGATTGTCTGGTCCAGACTTGATTATTTACAGGCCGCCGCCATATAGCTGGAATATTGCTGAGTGCGACGTAAAACTAAACTCACTCACTCACATTGAACATGCCCCGTCATAGCCCTATGTAATTATTTGGTGACATTTCAGTACTTTGAAGTGTTTCCACATTACTGTCACACTGTAAAGATCAGGGCCTCCTTTCACGAAGCAACCTTTACTAAGGTTAACCTTAACTCCCCATTCTTTACCAATGCACTAAGGTTACCTAAGTGACTTACCATTACCTTAGTGCTTTGTGAAAGGAGCACCTGGTCAAGAACTTTTCTTCCGCAACCAATGTTTGTTTTACGAGGCAACAGATGGGATCGGGTGGTCTGACTTGGTGATTTGGTTGACAGCATGAAGATCAAGGCTTATGATGTCAATCACTGGATGTTCTGGACCTGGGCCCCGTTCCTTAAAGCAATCGTAGCACTACGACAGTCGTAAGTCTATGTTAATGTATGGGAGTTACGATCACCTTAGCGCTACGATTGTTTTGTGGAACGGGGCCCTGCGTCTTTAAAGACTGCTGTCATGTAACTGGAATATTGTTATGAGGGAAGTTATGTTTGTGGCTGTGTTCCGAGAAATTTGGCGAAAAATATTTAACTCGCAGGCTTTTCGTTTTAAGGTACATGAACTACTTAAAGTTTATATATTTAGAAATCTGAACGTTCATACATTCCGCACATGATTCAAATGAAACGTAAATCCTACTTGGTCAATAGTTATTGCAAGTTTTGTTTGGGTTTGTCATTTTGCTGCTCCCGTTGAATAGGATCGACAGCAGCATTGAGAGGATTAATGTAATATCACTACGATATTTCACCAACTTTGACAGACTAATTAAATAAATACCAATAAGTAAACTGCTTTGTTAGCTTCACAGCATTATTTTCAAACTGGCGACTTCCATTCCAGACCAAGCTTTGTGAAATATTTTGATAGATCTGAGGGACCATTTATAATTTATGGCAAGGGAGGTTGATAATGATCTTTATGCAGAAGCATGTACAATGTGAATGACCCCCTCTAAAATTTACGTACAAAGTGAGTGCCCCCTCCCCTGCATATCATGCACAAAATCAATTACCCCCTCCCCCTTCCCATAATGTTTTAGCATAATTTTTAAAATATTTTTATGTACAAAATTGCTCACCCCCTATCTCCTCAGAACAAAATGGGTGACACCCTTAAAATCATCATTCCTCCTCCCTTTCTCTCTCACACTTTAACCACTCAGCTACCCCACAATAGTAAGAAGAAAGATCTATTTTAATGAGATTGCCAAGTCAGAGCACCAGATCCATTAAGTCGTCTCTTATGGCCAGCATAAGTTGCTAGGAAACATATTTAATGTTGAGTCCACACAGAGCTGTATTCACACAGGAAAAGGCAATGACTAACAACAATGACAAACAAAATAGGTAAATTTCAGATTTCATTAAACTTAACATAACCTGTAACAGGGTGCCATTATACAAAACAACCTTATCGATCGATTTATACAACAGTCTGAAGTTCATGTTAAGGTATGGGAGCTAAGATCACCTTAGCGGCAAGATCGATTTATACAAAGGTCATTTCATCAATCACAAACATAACAAGTAAGACAATTTTGTATATAAAATTCACCACTTTCACACCATGTCATCACATCAAACCGTGTACCCTTAACTTAAACTAGTGTTGTCAGGAATGGTAAGACCAGCCACAAGTCTGTATGATAGCACAACTATCAAATATACAGCTCCACTTATGATGGGTATATGTTTTCATCTTTCCATGATACACAAAAATGTCAAGTGTATATTTCAATGAAGTTCCTCAAAGGCATCTGAAGTTGGACGAACATAAATACATGACATGTTTTTACGGATAAGATCTTTTTATTCTTTTTACAACCTTCAGTGGTAATTATTGCCTCTTTATCAGGTGAATATGTTCAGTCACCTGATGAAGGAGCAAGAATTAGCTCTGAACGTTGTATAACAAATCAGAAGTTGTTATCCATAAAAGCTTGTCATGTATTCATGTATATTTTAACATATCTGTCATATCTAATTATGTACATCAAAAGTTTGTGTAGTATATATAACAGAGGGGCTTTGTTTGCTGAAAATAATACGTCTTAGGTCCAACACTCGCTCAGTGACAGCCATCTGCAGATAAATATTTATTTATTTATATGTAGATGGCTATCACTGAACAAGTGTTGGACCTAGGACGTATTATTTTGATAACCATCTACATATAAATATTTATTTATTTACACAGGGATGGCAATTTTCCGCGGATTTCCGCAGATTTTATTTCAAATTGTTCAATTGTGAATTGTCTAAATCCATTGAGAAACCCCCATTCAATGACACAATATTAAGTTTTCCGCTGAAAAAAGATTTTCCTGTTGCCATCCCTGTTTATAGAGGGGCGGTGGGGTAGCCCAGTGGTTAAAGCGTTGGCTCATCACGCCGAAGACCTGGGTTCGAATTCCCACATGGGTACAATTTGTGAAGCCCATTTCTGGTGTCCCCCGCTGTGATGTTGCTTGAATATTGCTAAAAGCTGCGTAAAACCAAATTCAGTCAGTCAGTCAGTCAGTTTACATAGATGGCTATCAGTGAACAAGTGTTGGACCTAGGACGCATCATTTTAAGCAATACAAGCCCTGTGGTATATCATGAGGATTGAGATAATGTGTGGGAGTTGTCTCTTCATATTGCTTGACAATACCTGTGATGTAGTCTGTACAAATATACCCAATACATCGCATGCAAGTCTAGAATAAGTGGCAAGTCTAGATAACCACAGTTTCAGTTTCTTAAAATGACAAAAGTCTGGGTTCCTTCACATTATATTTCATTAATATATTTTAGGAACCGCTTTTTTTTCCGTAAAATATGTTCGTTTCAGAAAATATAAGTAAGCCTACCTGTGAAGATCCAGGTGAGAACTGGTCTTCAACAACCTAGGCTTGTAGTAATGGGATTGGGTGGTAAGGCTTATTGACCAGGGTCTAGATTTTCGAGAAGGTCTCTTAGTGCTAAGATAGTCGTAAGTTAATGTTAATGCATGGTACATACGACTATCGTAACGCTAAAAGAGAGCTTAAAAATCTAGGCCCTGGTTGCTACATGTCATCTTATCCCAGTTAGATTGATGCCCATGACGTCAATCACTGGACTTTGGAGTCAAGACAATATTTACACTCCATAGTCACAGACCTGGAATATTACTCCCTGGTGTAGTGGTAAGAGCATCCACCCGGAGAGCGGAAGGTCGCGGGTTCGATCCCTGACTGCGTCATACCAAAAGACGTTAAAATATGGTACTTGTTTGTCCCTGCCTGGCGCTCGGCATTAATGGGTACAACAAGGAATGGTTGGCTCGGAGTCAGTATAATGTGTCTGAGTGGGGTATTCATGCTTCACTGCGGCATGGTATCTCAGTGGGCTAGCACTATAAAACCAGCTGAAGTCTGGGCTAGTACAAGCAGCCGCACACATACACACGCATGCACGTCGTCATATGAGCGAAATATTCTCAAGCACGACGTGAAACCCAATTTCACTTCTCCTCACCTCACCTCACCTGGAATATTGTGAAGTGCAGTGTTCAACAACAAACAAACCACTTTCCTCAATATCTCTGGAAATATATTATGAACTTTACACGGACAAAATTATCAATTTGATAAAACCAAGTATTTCTTGAGATAGGTTGGAAGAGGAAGAAGCTCCGACTTCAGTAGGACGTCTCCCTTAAGTTCACTTCGGATTACAATGCGACACTGAGACTTCAAGGATGACACGCTAGTTATCCATAACTGGATATCTTTGGTGATGTCCTGGTCGTCGTTCCCAATCAGGGGACACATTCTCCGCAAATGTTTAAGAGAGGCGAGACTGAGAACAGGTTGCATTAACTCCAGGAGTTGCTTCAGGAAAGTCAGTTGTGAGAAATTGATGGCGTATTTCACCCATCGTTCGTGTGTCTTGTTTCTTCGGGTGTAGTTGGCACCTGCTTGGATGAGAGTCCTCACCACCTCAAATTCAACATCGTTGAACCTTCTCCGTGAACAATTGACGAACTTGTCCAGCTCATAACACAATGGCATTTTGCCTGAAACAGACAGTCACTTAGATGATACATGGATGATAAACATCTGTTTTCAGAATTTACAGTTACTATGCATCTGATGCCTTGTTATTTAGAGGCATCGGGTAGACGTTTTTATTATTTCTAATACTCAATATCATCTGCAAATCTGATAATATTTCCTGACGTCATTAATTTATTGAAGCAATCTCTCTTGGTGAAATCTCACAGTTGTGGGACAGGAAGTCATTCCTAAATACTATAATGATAGGTTTTGTTTAGTTGTTGTTTAACGCCGCACTCAGCATTATTCCAGCTATATGATGGCGGTCTGTAAATAATCGAGTCTGGACCAGACAATCCAGTGATCAGCATCATGAGCATTGATCTACGCAATTGGGATACGCTGTCAACCAGGTCAGCAAGCCCCACCACCTGATCCTGTTAGTTGCCTCTTACAACAACAAGCATGGGTTGCTGAAGACCAATTCTAACCCGGATCTTCACGGGTCGATATCTCCTTGGAGTATGATGGGTGATGATATATGTACATGATACAAAGGGTGACCTCACGTGTCAAGATGATAATTTAGCTCGCCTGGTAAGCAGAAATTAGACATACAAACAAGCAATCAAAGTGTTTCTGATAAATATTGACGGAAATTCATTTAGAAATGGTGATAAGTTTTGCAGGGTTGGAAAAAAATGATTATTCACTCAATTGTACTCATATACAGTGAAAAGTCCAAATGATCTCTTGGATTAAGTTAGAAAGGTCATACAGTATACTACTTAAAACATTAAAGAACATCCAGTCATCATGTAAAGATATCTTACTTTTTAAACCCATCTGTGCTGTTTGTAAATAACCAGTGCATAAACCATTCAAACTGATTCTGTAAATGCAGCATAGATCTATAGTCTGTTTGGCTCAAAAGCGGACCGATGAATTGCAATCTAACTCGAAAACTAATAAACATAAAATACTCAATGAAACACTGATCATAATCAAAACGTCAGACCAACTCTGTCCTAAAAATAAAAAAGTTGTTTAACAAACTATCATTAAAATATTGACACTGTTCACTATTTGTTACGAGAGAGGAGTGCAGAGAAAGGGACAGCCCGGTGTGCGAGAAAGGATGGAGACGGCACAGCACAGGTTAATGAATCAATAACTTTGTCGGCACTTGTGCACGTGCTTCTCTAACACCTGGCTGTCCCCTTCTCTGCACTCCTCCCTCGTAACAAATAGTGAGCTGTGTCAAAATTTTAATGATAGTTTGTTAAACAACTTTTTGAATCTTAGGAAAAAATTTCTGCAAACAAATCACAGAGTTGGTCTGATGTTTTGTTTATGATCAGTGTTTCATTGAGTATTATATGTTTATTAGTTTTCTAGTTAGATTGCAATTCATCGGTCCGCTTTTGAGCCAAACGGACTATACATGTAAAGATCTACATGTATATATCTTCTTCTCCTTTTGGCAACTTGCTGTGAAATGGTTAAAGGTCAGTGATCTCATTAGATTGTTGGATGACCTCATTCATTATTTAAGTTGCTGCTAATCAAACCGACTTCTGTCTCAACTGGTGCTGACCCTATGTGGAGAGCAGCATGACTGGGACTGTGTGTGTAGACACAGCCAGAATCCAGGTCCATTCCACAGCTAGACTAACACTTCGTCTACAGCTATATTTCTGAGAGAAACAAAGATCTCTACTTACATTGAAGAGGAGTGAGTGAGGGAGTTTAGTTTTACGCCGCTATAAGCAACATTCCAGCAACATCACGGCAGAGGACACCAGAAATGGGCTTCACACATTGTACCCATGTGGGGAATTGAACCCGGGTCAGGCATGACGAGTGAAGGCTTTAACCACTACCCCACCACCCCTACTTAATAATATACTGAAGAGGAACCTGAGAAAATATAAAAACATGCTTTATTTAGGGTTTAGATTGCATTACAGTAAGGGCTGGGTGGAACAGAAAGTAATATAGTTCAGGGACTGTGAGACAGACTTCTACAGTTTGAAGGCGGTGGGAGCGATTTTCTTTTAAAAGATTTCCCTTAGAGGGAACAAATTGTTATTTTACTGGTGCTTCCATCAATAATGGTCAGAATAACAGCTTGATCTACACACAGGAGATTGAGTCTGACTTCAATGAGTGGTTGGTTGGTTTGTTTGTTTAACGCTGCACACATTGTGGTGGTCCGATTAATTGAAATAATCGAAGATTGGTCGCAGTGACTAAACGACCAAGCAATCGATCATGTTTTCTCATAATCGAACACAAACAATTCCAGAACACTTGTTTGCATTAACAATATTTTTCAAAAGGTTGGTTTTGTCTGTTACATTTCATGACCACTACAAGCTTTTTCAAAGTCATGATTCAATTTATCTTAAAGACTCCAGGAAATTATGTTCCTAACCTACTAGTCATCCTTTAAAGATGTGAAATTTGACAATACCTTTTGTGCAATTTGCAAAAACACCAAAGAACTACATGGTTTTTTCTTTATTTTTTGTCCATTAACAAAAATAATCAGGAAAAATTCATAAATGACGCTAACCAATTATTTTTGATGATTGATCGGTTGTAATGAACCAATCATCAATTATGAGATTTTGACCAATTCCCAGCATTAAGCACACAGCAATATTCCAGCTATATTACGGCGGTCTGTAAATAATCAAGTCTGGACCAGACAATCCAGTGATTAACATCATGAGCATCCATCTACACAATTTGGATATGATGACATGTGTCAACTAAGTCAGCGAGCCTGACCACCTGATCCAGGTAGTCGCCTCTTACAACAAGCATGGGTTGCTGAAGACCAATTGTAACCAGGATCTTCACGGGTCATTTCAATGAGTGCAACATAAGTTGAATATTTCTGAGTTTCTGTCTGTAGCCATAGAAATTAGAAGCAGAAGCCTTATTTCACTAGTCCCCCGAGTTTGTTGCCAGACCAAGATAAAACTGTTAATTGCTGTCATTTTCTTTCCATTCAAATTTGAATCAAAACTGGATCACCGAGAACATGTGTGGAATTATTAGGGCTGCGCAATACAACCGGTTTACTGGTATTTACGGTTCAGACATGAAAACGATACGTATTGCAATACGCTCATCGAACACCGGTATTTTGACTTGCATTCGGAAAACTTCGTAACACTCGGAAATCTTCGGATATTTCCTTTTTTCATTTGTGCCAAATATTATTCACATTTCTATTTTTAATCATGAATAAAAGTTGTTATTAATGCTTAATCAAGCACAGTGATTTTGCTGTGTATTTGCTCTGTAAATCAAGCATTACCTCGATTATAAGTAGTTTTTTGTTTCAAAATACTTCATGCAATATATTGCAATACATATCGCAATACATGCTTTCGCATCGCAATATATCGCAATATGAAAATTCTCTGCAATACCCACACCTACCAACAGTGTGGTCTGCTTGGAGTGCAGGGCCCCGTTCCACAAAGCGATTGTAGGGCTAAGATGATCGTAACTCCCATACTTTAACATAGACTTACGACAGTATCGCAATATGTATCGTTTTCATGTCTGAACCGGTATATACCGGTAAACCAGTTATATTGCGCAGCCCTAACTGTTGGTGATATAGACACATCATCAAAGAAGCATGGGATGCTGGGACATGTTTTACCCCTGCAAGCGATCATAACACTACAACTTTTGTAAGTCAATGTTTAAAAATGGTGCTTCATGGATCAAGGCCTTGGACTCCCCAGGCTGTTGTTGAAGGAGGTTATTGTAGAGCAAATACTGTTTAAGTCTAGGCTGAAGTATGGGATTAGCACTGCAGTGTTTCGGGAAACGAGGCCTTGGACTCCCCAAGGAGTCCGGGTACTAGTGAGTGAGTTTGGTTTTACACCGCTTTGAGCAATATTCCAGCAATATCGCGGCGGTGGACACCAGAAATGGGTTTCACACATTGTACCCATGTGGGGAATCAAACCCGGTTCTTCGGCGTGACTGGCGAACGCTTTAACCACAAGGCTACCCCACCACCCCAGTCGGGATGATAAGGTTACCCATGAGGTTAGATTAAGTACATAGAGCAGGTCCCATCTTACCACTCTTGTCTTTGAGTATTGCTGATGTGCCGGCCAGCAGCAGTTTATATACTATCTCTCTCCTCACTACGATGTCCTGTTTGGAGTTCTTACAGATGCAGTGTAATGCTGAAACAGAACCACTCATATCACTGATACAGTGCTGTGACATATGGTGTAGGGTAATCCAAATGGCATAAACTACAGATATTTTATTTCACAGTAAACAAAATAATAAATTTTGTAGAAAACAAGAGGAAATTAACCTAAAACTCATTTCATGTCATTGACCATTCACTCCTGTTATGTCTTTAAGGCCTGATGTAGAGTTAATACATTAGAAAGCAAAGTTCTTTAATAAATGCAAGATAAAATAAAATGTATTGATCAGGACAAACACGAAATTTAAAAATTAATAATGGGCTGTTACAGTATAACTCCTTGTTGGAATGAGGAAGTATGGTTTCAATTCTGCTGAGGCTGCGGAAGTATTTTCCTACCAACTTTCTTCCACATTTTCACTTTTGTGACATCAGAATCCACTCATGTAAATAACACTCTCTGATAATAATGTGTTACAGTTGATAATGTGTTACAGTGTGTCACCTGACAACTCACCTGTACAACTGTCTTCATCCTTAGGCAGAGGTAAAGTGTTACAGTTGTCATGACAACTCACCTGTACAACTGTCTTCATCCTTAGGCAGAGGTAAAGTGTTACAGTTGTCATGACAACTCACCTGTACAACTGTCTTCATCCTTAGGCAGAGGTAATGTGTTACAGTTGTCATGACAACTCACCTGTACAACTGTCTTCATCCTTAGGCAGAGGTAAAGTGTTACAGTTGTCATGACAACTCACCTGTACAACTGTCTTCAACCTTAGGTAAAAGTAATGTGTTACAGTTGTCATGACAACTCACCTGTACAACTGTCTTCATCCTTAGGCAGAGGTAAAGTGTTACAGTTGTCATGACAACTCACCTGTACAACTGTCTTCATCCTTAGGCAGAGGTAAAGTGTTACAGTTGTCATGACAACTCACCTGTACAACTGTCTTCATCCTTAGGCAGAGGTAAAGTGTTACAGTTGTCATGACAACTCACCTGTACAACTGTCTTCATCCTTAGGCAGAGGTAATGTGTTACAGTTGTCATGACAACTCACCTGTACAACTGTCTTCAACCTTAGGTAAAAGTAATGTGTTACAGTTGTCATGACAACTCACCTGTACAACTGTCTTAGGCAGAGGTAATGTGTTACAGTTGTCATGACAACTCACCTGTACAACTGTCTTCAACCTTAGGTAAAAGTAATGTGTTACAGTTGTCATGACAACTCACCTGTACAACTGTCTTCATCCTTAGGCAGAGGTAAAGTGTTACAGTTGTCATGACAACTCACCTGTACAACTGTCTTCATCCTGTTACAGTTGTCAGACAACTCACCTGTACAACTGTCTTCAACCTTAGGTAAAGTGTTACAGTTGTCATGACAACTCACCTGTACAACTGTCTTCATCCTTAGGCAGAGGTAAAGTGTTACAGTTGTCATGACAACTCACCTGTACAACGGTCTTCATCCTTAGGCAGAGGTAAAGTGTTACAGTTGTCATGACAACTCACCTGTACAACTGTCTTCATCCTTAGGCAGAGGTAAAGTGTTACAGTTGTCATGACAACTTACCTGTACAACTGTCTTCAACCTTACGTAAAAGTAATGTGTTACAGTTGACATGACAACTCACCTGTACAACTGTCTTCATCCTTAGGCAGAGGTAATGTGTCGCAGTTATCAACACAACTCACCTGTATACCTGTCTTCCTCCTGAAGTAATGTGTCAGTTGTCATGACAACTCACCTGTAAACCCATCTTCATCCTTGAGTAATGCATTACAGGTGTGATCCAGCAACATCTGCACAATATTCAGCGCTGCCATGCTGTCACTGCTGCAGGCTTCCATCAGCGCCGTCCGACCTGAACAACAAACACCCCAAGGGGATCCTGGATTAGAACAGGCCTCCAGTAACCTCATCCTCTATCTACAGGACTAGCATTTCAGTCAGTCTACACAAACCCCTTGATCCATTCCCATGGTTCTAATCTTGTAATCACAAACTACCTGCCTAGTAAACTATGTGGGTTTGAAGAGTCTAGAATGGACTGAGGGGTCATGCTCTGTGACTTGGTTAATTTCATGTCATCATACCGTGTGATGATGTGAGCTGCTTTTCAGAATATTAATCAGTGTCTGGTCCAGATTTAGATATTTCCTGCCATGTTGTTGCTAGAATATTTCTGAGAACAGAGTTAAAAACAAACAGGAGACACGATCTGTTTTGATACTTTCTGACTTTCTTTCTACCTTCAGAATATCCACTCAAGATGAAAATCCAGGGATTTACAGGATGCGAATTCCTGCATTCCAATATGTATAACAAATTTTAATAGTGCGTCCACGGGAACACAGAAAAAGTCCAAAACTTTTTGTAAAATTTCAATCAGGTTTGCTACTAGCTGTGTTATGGCATCATTTGCAATTTAATTACTGTAACAATGTGATGATCATGATACACAATACAATAACATTATCTGAAATACAACAATATTACAACATAGTATTAATAATAATATTTCAGTGTCTGGGACCCCCATTTTGTAGTACAGGACCACTGAAAATTAAGAGTACGGGTCCCAGGGACCCTGAAATACAGGACTCAAGAAAATCCCTGAAAATCAGATAAATATGGACTCAAGCAGTCCTCTTAGTAAGACAAAAAATCATTAGGATCCACAGAAATACAAGACAAATCTTATGGGTTGGGAAGTTTGTGATGGGGTCAGTCGGGAAACCGTAAACACACATATTTTTTGTGACAATCACAAAGTGAACTGTTTCCAGGTCAGGGTTGGTTGTAAATAGATGTGCCATGTCTGCCGTGTTGAACCTTAGATTGTCTACGCCGTGTTGAACCTAAGCCATGTTGGCAATATGTGAATGAGAAGTTTGTGCATCAAATAGATTATGGTGGCTTTATGTGCTGTGGGAAAGTCGCTGGATCTTCACAGGAAATGGTTGAATTATTAAGCAAGGAGTAAGACATTCTACTTGTATTGACTGATACTTGCTCCTTGGAAATTTGTTGCATGTGATGATTATCATTCTGCCAGAATCAAACTGTTCTTAACTTGTTGTGTGAGCTGTGTAGTGTATGTATTAGTGGTGGTCCGATTAATTGAAATAATCGAAGATTGGTCGCAATGACAAAACGACCAAGCAATCGATCATGTTTTCTCATAATTGAACACAAACACTTTTGGACCACTTGTTTGCAATAACAATATTTTTCAAAAGGTTGATTTTGTCTCGACATTGCATAAGCACTACAAGCTCGTTCCAAGTCATGATTAAGTTTATCTTAACAACTCCAGGAAATGTATGTTCCTAACACACTAGTCATCCTTTAAAGATGTGAAATTTGCAAATGCATTTTGTGCAATTTGCGAAAAAACCCGAGAGAACTACATGTTTTTTCTTTATTTTTTGTGCATCAACAAACATAACCAGGAAAATTTCATAAATGACGCTAACCAATTATTTTCGATGATTGATCGGTTGTAATGAACCAATCATCAATTATGAGATTTACACCAATTCCCAACACTAGTATGTATGATGGTTCCCTCATCACACTACCCCATTCAATCACATGACTATGGAATGATCATAGTAATATGAAAGAATCAAGTTGTCCTTTACTTCTTTTGAGTAGCATAATTATTCAGAGCAATTTCTGATCAGTACACAGAGGCCCAGATAAGCTGCGTATCCGGGTAAAATGTGCATAGAAAATTTCCAATTACGCATTGAAAATGTTGGATACGCAAAAAGTTTAAAACAAATGCGTACGGAATATATTTATAAAAATAGCTTGCATAATGAAAAAGACATCGATTGATATCAAGTTGTACTGTAAGTATAGGACTAGTGTTGTACTGTCAGTAGAGGATGAGTGATTTTTTATGAAATCATTTCCATTATATTTAAGTTGGTCTTGATTAGGTATGACAAAAGGCAGAACATACCTGCTTAGTAAACTTACTCAATGACATAATATTTAGGTGAGTAAAATGACTGAAATACACACATATTTGAAAGCAGTGGGTAACGGAAAATGAAATACCCACTCAACATTCATAATACCCACTCCAAACAAATACAGTGGGTACAGTACCCACATGAGCTAAATCTTATCTGGAGCTCTGAGTACATGATGTTACCACCATGAGAGAGATCTTTATTCTCAGTGCCTGTCTTTGCAATGTCATACCCATGAAGGTCCGGGTTAGAGTGAACCTTCAGTAACCCATGCTTGTCGTAAGATGCGACTAACGGGATCGGGTGGTAAGGCTCGCTGGCTTGGTTGACACATTGCACAGGTCGATGCTCATGCTGTTGATAGCTGGATTGTCTGGTCCAGACTCGATTATTTACAGACCTCCGCCATATAGCTGGAATATTGCTGAGTGCGGCATAAATCTAAACTCACTCACTCACTCACTTTGCAAAATTAGGTAAGACTTCTGCCCATATCCCACCCCCCACAAATTTTACTGATGAGGAAAAAGATATATGTATATTCAGGTAATATGATTTGACTAGAAGACATAACATAAGGTTTAACATGACATTGTGCATACAGACATTAAATTATCGGGTTAGGGTTAGCCTTACAAAATGAAATTTAAGGGGGAATACAGGTGGAAGTCTTTGCCAACATTAACTATGGCGTTACCAGCATTGTCCTGAGTGTTGACATCACAGCCGATGGCCAGGAGTGTCTGGACGTAGTCGGCGTAGCTGCGAGAAGCGATGTGCAGTGGAGAGCGACCAAACCGGTCTCTCACATCCATATCAGCACCAAAAACAGAACTGATGACAGAATGTCTTTTGTCACTGAAAGAACAGGTACACACTGATTAAATACATTTGATATAAAAAGTGATGTGAGTGAATAAATACTGTTATTTCTGAACGTTTAGCTAAATTTTTGCCTGATCGAAATCTGCATTACATTTTAAAGGTTTCATGGCTAAAATTCTGTACCCTCCTGATGATTCTAACCTGATATGTACACAGAAAATTGCATGATCGAAAATATAAGAATACATATCTGAAGACAAATGTTTTACAAAGTGAATCACATTGACGTTTCTGTGAGAGACAGATTCCTGTACATTAAGGATCGTACATGATTTATGGCTAGTGGGGTGTGATGGGGGGGTCACCCATTTTGTTCTGGGGAGGTAGGGGGTCAACTATTTTGTACACATGTACTTGGGGGGGGGCAGCAATTTTGAACATGACATATACTTAAAAAATATTGGGGGTGGGGCATTCATTTTGTACATGACATGCAGGTGGGCCACTTACTTTGTACCTAAATTTTAGTGGAGGTCATTCACATTGTACATGCTTCTCCATAAAAATCATCATCTCCCCAAGTCAAAAATTAGGAACAGTCCTTTGTTTATGGCAGGAATGTTAGGTCAGTATGATCCAAATTCTATCACAAAAACGGTATTTAAATGTATCCCTCTCTATGTAGTATGACAAGTCAAAATTGTTGATAGGAAGCAGCACAGAAAGACGTACCACAGTTAAATGGAATGGTGATGAGATATACTAGATAATTGAGGATGAAGACATTTGCAGACATCGGAAGAAAATGCACATTCACACTGTAGCACTGAGGATCAACTGTACTACTCGTTGAAAACAATTGTGAAAACAAGGTAATTTACCCCCTTGCTGCTGGTGCATCCCAGTGATAATGTGCAACAGGTAGGCATTGGAATCATCTTTGAAGTTAGGATCGGTTCCTTTCCCAAGCAGTCTGTTCACCTTCTCCAGGTTTCTCTTCCGTACAGCGTCCAGCAAACCCCGCTGGTTGTCCGACAATCGCTGGCTCTTCCAATACTCCACCATCTCACCTGCCTCCTGTTGAAGAAACTAGGGGTTTAAACCAGGGCTCGCAAAATTCAAAAATCTGTACCCGCCCTGTAGGACAAGTAATATGAACTTTCCACTCGTCCTTCTAAAATTGTACTTTCCCTATAGATCATGCATCACAGATTCATAATGAATATAAATTTAATTTATTTTATTTCAAAATGTTTGATTGGAATAAAACTACAATAAACATTACTTACTTTGCCTTCTGTACAAAATCTTTGACAAAATTGAATTCGTTCACCATTTAAGATAGCTGAACTTAAAGGAAAAAGAAAAATGTTGCTTTTGGGTCAGACAACGTACTTGTCCTCTAGGACGAACAAATTATGTTTTTCACTTGCCCGAAACAAATTTTACTCGTCAATACGAGCGGACGAGAGGAAGTTTTTAGCCCTGGTTTTGGACATGTATGCTGGTCCTGTACATTAGCACTAGTGTGGAGACATATCTGGGGGCTAAATTTTTCATGGATAGTATGGGAAGTCTTGTTTAGGATACAGGGAGAGACTTTATTCAGTATTGGAGTCCACTTGGCCCAGAGTACAGATACAGAGTAATTCATACAGTTATATCAAATAGTGAATTCTGATGCCTTTGATGTCAAGTATCTCCCAAGCTTTGTTGGAATGGTGTGTTGTATTCAGATCTATTATGGATGAAGATATATTTTAAGCGCTTTTTCTTGTCTCTTGATACTATATTGATACAGAGTGCTTTTTTCATCAAATTGTATTGACAGGCTGCTTCAAAATTAGTGTCAATTGTACTTATTTGATGATGTTCTGGAATAATTTTTGTCATCCTGAGATCCACAACAGGCGACAATTTACATATGCCAGTACGGACTTCTTGCATTACGGACGGTTTCCACAATGACTGGGTGAGTGTTTAAACAGTTAACTTTCACCAGCCTTGATGGTATATGGTTGCATTGAAATAATATGGAAATACATGTATATTGTGTATGTTGTTGAATTTTGCAACGTATTTGTCCATTTGTCGATCACAGCGATAATTCACGAGTGTATCACTGGTGCCAGTGGTGGAATTGATCCCAGTCTACAGTACAGTGATGTGAGGATAGAAAGTTACGTTTTCCTGAAGATGACAGGCTGATGACAACCGTGATAATCGTTTCCATACATGTGTGTACATATTGTATACTTTGAATCATTACTGCATTCACGTTTACTGCAAAAAGGGATAAATAATAACCTTGATCTCATGTTGAAGATCTCTTGAGGTAGCCATATTTGTTGACAAGTGAAACTGAGGCTGTGAAATGAGTTCTAATGAATAATTACTACATTAAGTAAAATCTATCAGCTGTATTCATTACACATATAATTTATTACACAAATATTAACTACAATAAGTACTGTAACAATACCAATACAATGAATCAAATGAGTTCTATAAAGCTAATGGTTAAGATTAAAGACAATGTAGTTTATCGACTGGTATGCACTATGATCATTTGACAGATGCACGTGCAACAGGAAAATCCCGTGCGTCATGTGACGTTAGTAGATGCTGTTTGTGTATTTGTCAGAACCACTTCGGGTAAGTGTATTTCAGTCTTGTATCGAAGTAAATATGTAACTAGTTACCTGTGACAGGCCGTTTTAATGATGCCGACTATATTAGACATTTGGAACCGTTTGGAATGTTTGGTCAAACCGACTTCGTAATAATATTTGTCAGCTGCGAATTGGGTGTAACGCTTCCGTCTAGGGTTGTGCATGTTGTGGTATGTAACCCGGCAATGCAACAGCTATGACCGAGATGCACTTCGTTGGAATTGATGCATGTATCAGTTATATTAAATATACGGTGTATGCAGTGATGTCCACAGCTCGCCACAGCGGACAGAAACACCTGTCTGTTAGGAACAACCTGAGAAGAGGTGTAATGTTTGACTCGGGTGGAATTCATTTGTCATATATCCTGACCATATAATTCATAACGTATTCAACCTTTCTAACGTGAAACATTCCGAAACACTGCTTGGGTTTGGTGTTTAATGACTGCCAAATGTGTCCCAAAATCCAAATATATTTTAAAAAATTGAAAGCGTATTAATGCATTGTGCTATATGTGTATGTAAATTCGTTTACAGCTGTGATATTACAGAAATTGAGATTATACTCACCTGTTAAGGGGCAGAAGAATAGCCAAATGGTTAAGGCATTCTCTTGTGACACCAAATGTCTGGGTTTTATTCCCCATATGGGTACAGCATTTAAAGCCATATTCTCATGTTTCCCCAGGCCGATATATTGCTGGAATATTGTTTTAAGTGTGAAAAGTACTTACATTTGTTAATAACTATAACATTAATTGTATCACAGATATAATTTTCAACCCTAAATTTGAATGTCCAATGTCTTGCCCAGTGTATGTCTTCATTATTTCTGAGCACCATGATGTAAGTGTATTATTAAGCTGAATGCAGTGTAAAACACCATTGCATCATGCTGTTGACTTCCCTTAAAGGGAATAATTGCTAAATTGTGAGAAATGAAATTTTGGACCAGTGCAGAAATGATCTGCAAACTGAACAACTAAAATTATAAGCCTTCTCAAACTTACAGGTCTTTCTTCAAATGACAAAGATTCGTGAAGATCCGGGGTAGAATAGGTCTTCAGCAACCCATGCTTGCCACAAAAGGCGACTATGCTTGTCGTAAGAGGCGACGAACGGGATCGGGTGGTCAGACTCGCTGACTTGGTTGACACATGTCATCGGTTCCCAATTGTGTAGATCGATGCTCATGCTGTTGATCACTGGATTGTCTGGTCCAGACTCGATTATTTACAGACCGCCGCCATATAGCTGAAATATTGCCGAGTGCGGCGTAAAACTAAACTTACTCACTCACTCACTCAAATGAGAAACTTTGTTGCATAACCTTAGAGGTGCTGGCAACACTGTAGAAATGTATGTTACGTAAAGTATAGGAATTATGCCCCGGCCATTCAATACATTCTTAATACACCAATATACAGTTCATCCATATAGCACACAGTGAAATCATCCAGATTGGTGAATCATTGTAACTAGGGCTGGATATTGCCCTGATTCTCATATTGCGATATATTGCAATAATTTATGAGATATTGCAATATATATTGTGATATATTGAATGGAGGGTTTCTGGCCATGTGTGTACATCATAAATTCATAATAGCTCTGTGTGTGCGACATTATGTTCTTAGTTGCTGTTACACCATACTCTCCGGCTCCCAGTCCTTATTGAGCGTTGCTGTATGCCAATGGTTTACAGATAAATAAAATGATATAGAACCTTAATGTGGAATGTTTAATTGAGGTAATGCAACAAAGGTTTGAGAACATAATGATAAAGTATAGTAATAGTATAACATAAGTTTCATGGTCAGTGATTATAAGGGGGTTCAGCAGTTTTATTGAGGGGGTCAGCAGTTTTGTACACACGTTTAGGGTGGGGGTGGGGTGTGTTCAGCAAGTTTGTACATAACGCTATGTTTAAAATTACGCTAAGAAATTATGGGAAGGGGAAGGGGTCATTGATTTTGTACATGACATGTGGGGGGTGTGCTCACTTACTTTGTACATAACTTTTAGTTGGGGGTCATTCACATTGTACATGCTTCTCCATAAAAATCATCATCACCCCCCAAGCCATTAATTATGAGCGGTCCCTTAACACAGTGGGGTCTCATACAGTGCAAACCGGATATAGTGTGCTGTACGTTCGTGCTTTGGTTGATAGAAACGTTGTCACAGGCTCATTTTTTGTTGATTTTTTTTGTTACTGTGAGTATTAAAATGAGGGAAACACTTCTTCTTACTCTTATAAACTATCATTCACTGCTAATTTGAATGATGGCCCTCTAAATTCTTTCAAATATCAAAAGCGCATCGCCGATTTTGCTCCTTCGAAGAAAACATCGGAAATAAAGCCACAATATGCCTTAATTTCCCAGTGTCTTGGTATAATTTGACAACATATGAAATATGTGATAAATAAGCTTTCAAATGGTGTGAAATATTCCTAACATAGAGTATTCGTTTCTTTACTCGAGAGTTAAAGGTTACCCACCTATGCATCATCACCGTACAAGCTGATAGGGTTCACTCCCAAAAGACAGACTTCCCATAAGACAGACTCAATGAGTATACTAATTAGCTGAGCCATGCTGTCCACCCCTATTTAATTCATGAGCTGACCCGGAGTCACTACAAGGTAGGTATAGTGACAACACACTCCTATCTCCTGTACCCTTCTCAAAATTGCAACCTAGGACAAAATCCACCTGGACAAATTCACACCGGACAAAATCCACCCCTAATAAATCCACCCTAAGAAAAAAAACATAATCACATGTTTAGTCACAGAAATGAAGTATATTCATATCAGTCATTCATAATCGATAACAAAAACAACCATAATACATATGTAAGCACATTTTTGCATCTTAATTCTTTAATTATACATGAAAGGGGATTAAGTAGTGATCAAAATGTGAGAAATGGAGAAACCTTTAATGTTTGAAACAACATCTAGGAACAACAGCCAATTAGGAAAACGTAAATGCTATCAAAACAATGCTTGCAATGCTTGAGAAAAACATCTTGATCAAAGATCAGGACACACTAAAACTTTTAACTACAGCAGTTTGAGAAGGGTGGATTTTGTCCATTTTTCTGTTAAGAAGAGGTGGATTTTGTCCGGGGTGGCAATTTTGGGGTGGATTTGGTCCGGGTGGAATTTGTCCCGTTACCTCTCAAAACATATTACTAATCCTTTTACTGAACAGAACAGAATAGAACCGAAATGTTATTATCAATAATCACATATAGTGACACAGAGAACATACAGCATACATTTAAGAATTGAATGTCAGTTTTGTGTTTGGCAACTTTAGAAAAATGAGCGATGTCAAAGCGGTGTTCAAACTTCGTGTGGCAAGTTTTTCAATAAATTATGTACATGAAGTTTACAAGTTTTCCACCCATGTTCATAAGATGGATGTAATGCCTTTCGGTTTAGCGTGCACATACCAGCGTTACTTTCCACCCAATAGTTTGTATCATTCTTTAAAATATGAACAACAATACCTGGAGAATGTTGTAATCCTTTAAAGATCAAACAGAAACGTATAGAATAGCATTTTATAACAGCTGTAGAAATGTTAAATCTCAATGTATTCTATTTACTTAAGATTGTTTTTTGATGAAAAAATCAACATATATGAGGCTTGTTAAACTCCTTTAAAAAGGAACAATGTTACGACCAATGTTTTGGTAGTGACATTGCCAAACACTGGAATTGTGGGGTCCTTGTGAGCCGAAATTATTAAGATTGTTTGAAGAAGTATGAATTAGAGAAAATTTAGTATCACACGGCCGCTATATCAACTGTAGCGTTAGGAATGTTGTAATACTTAAAGATTGTTTGACATCATATTTATACATATTAAAACATTGAACAAAGTCAGTTTTGATAAATTTGGCATTGAAGTTTAGGCAAGAGACATTTACAAAGTATAGGGTAACTTAAGAAAAAGCGGTGAATGGTCCGCGAAACGAAGCGAAATTTTTCATTAGATAAACAATTTTTTAATAGTAGGATGTTTAAGATTGTGTGAAGAACAAATTATAAAAATTGAATAAAGTCCAGCATTAACTGATCATCACAGACATCTAACTTCACACTGTTTACAGAACAAATAAAACATGAAGCTCACTTCAACTAAGCAATAAGCTTATTTACATGTTCGAGGCCAGTTACATCATGTTCATAAAGAAAACACTCAAGATCATGCAAGTATCAATAACTGGAGAATAGGACGTTTTATAACAGTTGTTGAATTAGTTTTTGCAAATAACTGGAGAACAGGATGTTTTTAGTACTTAAGATTGTTTGAAGATGAAAGTGAAATAATATTTATAAAATTCAGTATAAACAAAGTATATAACTGGAGAACAGGATGTTTTCTAATATTTATAACATTTTCAAAGTATACATGACTGTCTTTTTCCTATGACTTTTTCTGATCACCCTTCTAGATGGCTTCCTGTATGCCAAGAACAAGGTGAAAGGAAAAAATGATGATGTTCAAGTGACTTTCTAATAAGTCTTATCTGTGCACTGAGAAACATGTGTTGTAAAATAATATGGTGCTTGGTCTCATATGTTTGATAGGTATATGTATATAAATTATTATTTTTGATAATATTCACAAGTAAATGTGATCTGGCAAACTTATGTTGATGTACATATATATTGATGCAATATGTTTTAATTTAATAATCATAATTGATTACAGGAATTGATAAAACTATAGTTAATACCTAATAATC